TTAGATTAGACACTAAATTCTTCTAGATTCAGATTAGATTAGACACTAGTTTCTTATTAGATTAGACACTAGATTCTTCTAGATTCTGATTAGATTAGACACTAGATTCTTCTCGATTAGACACTAGATTCTTATTAGATTCTGATTAGATTCTACACTAGATTCTTCTAGATTCTGATTAGACACTAGTTTCTTATTAGATTAGACACTAGATTCTTATTAGAGTCTGATTAGATTCTACACTAGATTCTTCTAGATTCTGATTAGATTAGACACTAGATTCTTCTAGATTCTGATTAGACTAGACACTAGATTCTTCTAGATTCTGATTAGATTAAACATTAGATTCTTCTAGATTCTGATTAGACACTAGATTCTGATTAGGTTATACACTAGATTCTTCTAGATTAGACACAATTCTTCTAGATTCAGATTAGATTAGACACTAGATTCTTCTAGATTAGACACTAGATTCTGATTAGATTATACACTAGATTCTTCTAGATTAGACACAAGATTCTGATTAGATTATACACTAGATTTTCATGTTCTGCCTGCATGAAAAACTTTGAGTGACCAATTAGAATCAGAATTTTTTATGGGTTTTCATTGTTCCACACCTTTAATAACCATTCCCAGAGATGAAGAAATATTGATATATAGAAATATTGCAATATTTCCTGTTATGACACTGAATCGATATTTAAAGGCAATAAATGTTTTACTGAGAATTCACTTGCAAACATTAACTGTATTTATTATTTTCTGTATTTTATCTCATGATAACATTTGCATTCAGCCTTAAAAACTGAAAATATCTTGTGGCTTTTAGTATCGCAATATATCATATCGTCTCCCCTGCATTGTGATATACATATATCGTATTGACCGATTCTTGACAACCCACACCCCCTTAAGTCCTGTATTTAATAAAGGTGTCGTAGGCCCACAAGTTCTATAAATGAATTTGTTCTAAAACGTTTTAATCATCACTGAATGCCTACACTCCTGCTCTTCCAAGATTGCATAAAATATTCTTAATTGATGGCTGGAATGAGACCAAAACACGAGAAGTCACATTTTTATCTACTGGCTGTTTCTAGGAACTCATAAATGAGACGACAAAGGGCACCTTGAATAAATAATTTATGTTTGTCATCAGTGAAGGGGAGATTCTGAACGGCTGATCAAAGATGGTAGGGATTATTATCAGTAAAAGCAGAGTGAAGACAACAAGAGATGGTAGGGATTATTATCAGTAAAAGCAGAGTGAAGACAACAAGAGCAAACACAGAGCTGAGGTCAGGATTTCAGACTATGTGTGAAACCTTTACATCTCACTCGTCTGCTACCGCTACTTCCCTTCAATCATCACCCCCTCAACACCTCGGACTACCGGGGCCCAGATTCCTCCAACCCCTGCGATGAATTTAAAGAAGGCTTTCAATCGCCCGACCTGTTTCAATCTGCACTGGGGTCAGCTCTGTAAATCCCAGCAGCTGACACCAAATCAATTACCACGTGGCCGGTGGGTAAGCAGAATGGGACTTCCAGAACCAACTGCAGAAACTGGCCTAAATACGAAGCCGAGCCAGCATCTGCTCAGCAGAATTTCATCAACTCTGGGCCAACTGTGCAGAACCGCCAGCGCAGACACAAAACACCAAAGACCCAGCTGTACTTTACATTGCATTATGTCAGAAAAGAGTTAAATAAATTGCATTTAATGTAAAAAGAAACTTCTCTAAAGATAAACTGGCTTGATCAAGTCAAAATCTTTAAAATGCAGCAAAATCCAATGAATTTGTAATTTCTGCTGCATGTTTGTATATAATACATTTGAACTACCACAAAAAAATTAAAAATAAATTTAGTTGCATATATTTAGCTAAGAAATAGCTGCCAACACAGTTTAGTTTCTAAAATGTTTTTTGTTTCAACACTTAATAGGTTATTTGTACAAACCAAACACTAACTTACTGATTTATTTATTAGTTTGAAATTTTTTTAACCCTCCCACTGTCTTCATGGGTGACGACCCTGCAAGGAAAGTTGAACATTGAGCAGGATTGATGGTTTATTCCTTGAGGTCCATGTGGCAGGGGTGAGGTGGTGCTCACTCCTCACCCCTGCCACGTGGACCCAAGGGATAAACCATCAACCCTGCTCAATGGTCAACTTTCCTTGCGGGATCGTCACCCATTAGGACAGTGGGAGGGTTAAATAAACTTCTATTAAGAGATTCCAATTGTGAATTTTTTGCTAAATTCTTCCTTTACTGATTTCAGATGTCTTGACTTATATATTATTACATCAGATTAAAACAAGAGAGAGAAAATTTGTTTAAATCCGATTTGGATTGTGCATTTTAAGGAGATTCCTTCTGACTGGATAATTAGAGCGCCCAAATACAAAGCCATAAGTATAAACTACAATAAAACATTTAAGCAATTCTAAATAATAATAAACCCAAATTTATTTTCACAGTGACGACCAAAGTGCATTTAAACATGAAAACAAATAAACTTTAGGTTCTATTTCACTCCTGTGGGTAAAACCTGTGCAGAATGATGGATTAAGATGTTCTGCAGGAACGACAGGAAGGAGAGGACAATTAGCAGGATCCTGCAGAGGGAGATGAGTGTGCTCAGCTTGGAGCGAGCCATGAGCCCGTCATGCTGACAGATGAGGTGATGCGGAGCTTAAGGTCAGCTCCTGGACGACTGATGGAGCAGCAGCATCAGCGATGAGGGGAAATCAGGCCACAGAGGAAGATTACGCGCTTAACATCTCTGTCGCAACATGTCACTCTGGGCTGCTGCTTCCCGCTGACCAAAGAGAAGTGTGGGATGTTTTTCTTCCTTCAGTCTTCATGGTTTAGGTTTTATCATGGAACACAATTCAAGGTCTTCATGGAAATAAAAGTTCAACCATTTTAAATGAATCATTTAGGGCGAATGATAGACCTGGAGAAGTAGGAAACATGATTTCCTGAACAGGGATTGAGCAGATCCAGGGAGGTAAAGAGCTGCTCTGGAAATATCAACATCCATGCTTCAGTCAAGAGAAGGTGCTGATTCAACACTTTTCTATCTGCAGGAGTGCATAGTTCAGAGATAAACTGCTTAGGAGATGTGAGATAGAAAAATGCACAGTGTTTAATAAAAAAACAGAATATGAGAGGACTGACACAGATTACAGAAATGTTTCTTCTCTGGAGCGTGAAGGCCTTTTTTTTTATTTTTGTCAAGTTGGCAAAAATCACAAAAACGTCCTGCACTTGATTACTGACTCTTGATGCAGAAAGGGTCCTGGACTCACATTCAAGTCTCCTATATCTCAGGGTGATGCAACATCCCAGCACCTGAAAGGGCTGCTGGGATGAGGAGTCACGCACAAACAGAACAATGCTCCGGTGAACCCCAAGACTTTGGCCTGACCACAGCAACGAACCACAAAATCGCTGTGACGGCAAATATGGTTTGACACAGTAAAAAGGTTATGACGCAGGTGAGTGTATGTGGTCAAGAGTTGGTGAAAAACATGTAATCAGAGGCTTTTTATCCAAGTCCTGTCCGACACAACTGCTGCCAAGGCTGATGAGACAAAGCATGTGATTTTCTCAGTGGTAGACTTAACTTATTTTATTATTTAGATAAATAAACCTAAAATAAATACATGTTAAAGAAGCCCACACACACAAAAAATGATATGCATTCAAGAATAACTTAAAGAGAATTTGAAAAAATCTTTGATATGATCTAAGGTCAATCATTTTGGGAGCTCCACCATCAATATATACAGCTATGCTGCTTTACAGCTCTTGGTTTGTTCTGGTTGTGGATCAAATTCCCACCCTGTCACGAATTCATAAATATGTGAACAAGAATTTTCAGTCTGCAGAAACCTCCACAGATTAACTCACCGGTGCAGTTGGCATATATTGAACTGTTCATTTAACAAGGCGACCAAGCTTTTAATACTTCTTCTGCTGTGTCAGCCATGTTTCCACTCTCTGAGCTTGAGTTACTGAGTCCCAGCATATTCAAGCTCAACCCAAAACTGATGATTTCACCCCCTCAGTCCAAAGGTCCTTTCTGGGTGCCATTTAACAGTTTTACCTTTTAAAGACCTAATGTGTAACTCTGAAACATCTAAATTTCTCTAAAATATTTAGTTAGATAACTTAACATTAGAATCAGCACATTATTCATTAATTAAGTAGCTGATAGACCAGTCAATTATTTGCCAAATTGACTAAATTTGCCTCAGTAACTACTTTTTTTCACCACAAGAGCAAACAAACTGCTTTAGATTTCTTTATGTTTACTATTTAGATGTAATTTTTGTAGATTTTTCAAATAATTCACATGCATTTAAGTAAATTTACTGAATAAAGAAAGAATTACAATAGAAAATTATGTATATATTTTATAAATAACCAAAATTATACACCTTTCTTTTTACAACTTGTCATCAAACATGTTTATAGTAAATAAAAAATGCATAAAAAATAATCTAAGTTTTTATTAAAGGAAATCTTAGTAGTGACACTAATTGGTCATTTAAAAAAGGTAACAATCTGAGTCACATAATGATGCAATAAAATTCCCTTTTTCTATGGATAAACTATTTTACTTTCTTTAAGATAAAGATATAATTTTACCAAAATTACCAAAACTCGAAAATATATTTCTAGTTGCATTTTCATTAAGGTACGGCTATTTTAAAAATACAAAACATGATTTAAAGTACACATCTGACGCAATCTAAAAGGTGAAAGGTTAGACATCAGGCGATTTTCACCAGCAGCACCCTAACGATTAGCAGCAAGAGGCGTCAAAACAAAAGCAACAAAGAGCCAGCTGGTTGTTACAGTAGCTAATGTTAGCAGATGTGAGGCACACAGTGGAGAGGCCAGTGAGACAATCATCTAAAGCTTTGCATCAAAAATGACTTACTGCAGGGCTGACACGGCGCGAGCACATCCACAAACTTACCTTGGGCTTATACAGCCACTTTCGAAAGCGGTTCATCGTTGCTTCGCCACCTTCCTTTGTCACCAGCCCCTCCTCGGTTCCCCTGTACCTGCCCGCGAGCCTGCCTGGAACGGTGGTCGGCTGCTAGCCCAGCTAGCGTCGGTGGGTTCCCCACAATGCACGGTAAGTTGCACCGAACGCTACAGCGCAGCTCTGGGGGGGAACAAAGGAGATATTCTGGAATTTAATTCCATTTTCTCGGAATGCTGCCGTCCAGCCTGTCACCCCCACCGCCTGCCACTTTGTAACTCCCACCGATACACCCGAGAACCAGCGACCGACCTCTTGGCTGTTCTCAGCCCGTCTCACGCTTCTTGATGACAGTCACGTTGACAACATTCACCTCCCACTTTCCCAGACAATGATGCCTCCAAGAACGGCTCAGACAAAGCAATTCTCTCAAAGCTGCTAAGGCGTTGCAAAATGTACATTGTACACGTAGAAATCACATTCTTGATGATGACATAACTCACGCATAATCAATTTAGTGCGTACTAGTGCGGTTTAATGTTTTTAATCACATGCTTTTGAGTCATTGATAAAAAAAAATATTTTAACAACACACTGCCAAACAAGTGATTATGCTTACAGGCCGAATCAATTGTTAATAAAAAAACGAGATAATTTAGTGAATATTATCTTTTAGTTTATCTGCTTTTGTGTTACGTCAGCTGAATAATTTTATTCACGCCTGTAACATTTCCAACAGCACTTGAAAGCAACACCCGGCTCGCTCAGACGTCAGGTCATGCTACGTCATTAATATTGTTATGGCGGCCAACAAAGGATCAGGACAACGCTGTGGTAATCTGCGTGGATTAAAGTGAGAAAAGGCTCTAAACTAACCGTCAAACATCCTTTAGAATTAAACAAATGTCAGTAACTCAAATGAATGTTGTAAATCTTGTATGTGATCTCATTCTAAAGCTGGAGATTGATCTGTTTACACCTGTAATGTTGCTAGGCAACGATTGAAACTGACAGATGGGAAAAAAATCGTCTTTTATATATATATATATATATATATATATATATATATATATATATATATATATATATATATATATATATATATATATATATATATATATAAAACTGAGTTCCTGCTAACTTCTGAGTTGAGTTAAGGTGTCACGTAGCTACAGGTCATACGTGAAGGAAGCATGTGAGCTGCTAAGGAAGCTCAGAGCTGATGAGTGCTGTCTGGATACCTTTGTGGAAGATGCTTCAAAGGATCTGCAGGTGAGTAGACAAAGCTTACGGGTCATTTGATGGTGATTCTTTAATAAAACATGTCATATGTGTTACAGAATAAAGATGCTCCAGAGAGGAAATTCATCCTTGATGTTGTTTCTGGGTGTGTTCAGAATAAAAAGCTGCTGGATGTAGTGGTCAATATGTTTTATGGCCTGAATAAGAAGTGGGTGTCTAAAGGTGATCACAGCCAGTTTGTTGGTAAGAAACAATTTCAGCTTTTATATTCCTGATGCTTATTTATAGTGAGATTAATACTCAGTCACCTCTGGCTCTCCTCAGTCATCTGCTACCTCACCATGTTTGCTCTTGATGATCTTGGAGTTCAAAATTTCAGCAACATAATTAAATCTCTCGGCATCAACAAGATGCACTTTGTAAGTTTGTGAATGCATCAGTAGGAATAAATGACAATCAAAGGCTCTCTTACTCTATATAACAATGTTTCTTTTGTTAGTTCATGAATTTTTTCTTCTCACACCTCACCCCATGGATACAAGAGGAGTGGAACGGCATCTATGATGTTGATTTTGTGGAAAAGGAATGGATCGTTCCTCTTCTCAGGTAAAAAAAAAAGCTGTCATTAATCGAGCTTATTTGTAGAAAATTGTTTAAAAAGTTAAATAAATTGCTTAAGTGTGTGTGTCTCTGCAGAGGTGTGAACTTGAGTCAGACTCGAGTCATTATTTTAATGACTTTTGACTTGAGTCAGACTCTAGTCATTATTTTAATGACTTTTGACTTGACTTGATAAAATCTATAAAGACTTACGACTTGACTCGGACTTGAATGCCAATGACTTGCGACTTGAATTGACTTGCATCATATTATAGCACAAACGTGGCCCGACATGGACAAAAATCATAAATCATTCTTCGATTTTGCACTGCTGAATGCAGCAGCACTTTGTTTATAATCATTTCAGTTACACTTTCTGTGTCACGTTGTGGGTTGGAGGAGTTGGACCCAATGTGCAGATACTCAGAACGGCACGAAGCAGGAGAGGATGTAAAAGAAAACATTCTTTATTAAGAATGATTTAGCCAAAAAACCTAGAACCTAAGAGGGCACAAAGCCAGAAAGAGACCTGAGAGAGGGGGAGGGGAGGGGAGGGGAGGGGAGGGGAGGGGAGGGGAGGGGAGGGGAGGGGAGGGGAGGGGAGGGGAGGGGAGGGGAGGGGACAAACAACACTGACAAGGACAATGGACCAATAACACATTGAGATGCAGACAGGGTTTTATACACAGGTGCAGGAATGACTGGGACATGAGCTGCAGGTGCGTGGGGAGAGAGAAACCTGGTGAAATCAATTTACTAATCAGGGAGAGGAATCTAAACTGAGGAGGGGAAATAAAACATGACCTATGAATAATAACCAAACCTAAAGACTAGAAGAACAAGACAAATAACTAATAATCTAAAGGAGGAAAGGAGAACTAATAAACCGGTGGGGACCAAGGAAGGAACCTAGAAGAAAACCTGAACCTATGAAACTTCAGGGAAAAATTAGCTAGATAATATAAATACAAAGAAAACTAAAGAATAAGTGAACCTGGGAAACCTGGTGGGAGCTGGAGACAAGCAGGGGCACAGGAAACTTAGGTACACATGAGGGGGATCCTAGAGGGACACCTGGAGGGGTTGGAGACTTAAAGGGGAACAGAAACCTAAGGGGAGAACCTGGAGAGGGCTGGGGAACACAAGGAGGCATATAAGGGGAACCTAGAGGGGGGCTGGAGAACACGAGGGGGACCCAGGATGCAGACCGTGACATTCTGCTTGTTTGAGCAAATAAATGAAGCTTTAATTCTGGAATTTATTCATTATCATTGTCATTAAATTGAAGTTGGACAGATGACTTGATTATGACTTGAAAATTCAACGTTAAGGATTTGGACTTCCACATCATTGACTTTGGACTCAACTTGGACTTGGTTGTCTTTGACTTGGACTTGACTCGAGACTTGACTGGAAAGACTTGTGACTCACTTGTGACTTGCAAAGCAGTGACTTGGTCACACCTCTGTGTCTCTGTGTCCTTTAGATGGCGCCCTGAGATCAGTTCCCTTATGGATCAGCTGTTTGAGGAAAGTCAGGTCCAAAAAGCTCATGTTAAAACCACCCAGCCTCAGGAGTTCAACCTCACCAATCCGAAAGCTGGACCCGTGCCAGAGATGATTCCTCATGAAGAAAAACGCAAAGCAGTCAGGCTCCATTCTAGTTACTCTTGTTTCTCTAATACACTTTATCCCACTTTCATTTAATATAAGTCCAATGATGTTTTCCTTTTTGGTTTCATAGGTACCAAAAGGCTTTTACAGCGCTAACAAAGCTGAGGTAGGACCTCAGCTTTTGCTTTAATTTTCTGGGAAAGGTTTTTGACATTTTAAGAGAAAACGTCTAAAGCTGAAAGACATACAAATTAAGATAAGATCAAGTAAGCAGAGTCAGCTGCTGCAGAGACAAAATATAACCACCAGAAATGATAGAAATTGAGGAAAAGCTTCAGTTATTTAGGTTGAACTCCATGTTCTGATTTCCAAATCAGTTTATTGTCCAATCAAACCTTTTTATGGTCAAATAAAGTTTAGATGTGCAAGTCTGCACACATTAAGATTTTTCCTCCTGGCCTTTCTACTGCAAAAAATAATTTCACTCATTAAAGTCCACGGTCTGTGATAAAGACAAAAACTAATCTGTTTATCACGTGCTCCTCTTTAAATTTTTTTTTTCACAATTTTGGGAAAAATAAATCAAATGATCCTTAATCTTTTTATTGTGTTTGGTCTAGCTGCTGACTTATTTTAACTTAGTGAATAAAAAAACTTTAAATCCAAGCTTAAGCAGAAATTTTATTCATGTGATCTTCTGCAAATCTGCATGTTTTAGTTTTTTTTTTTTTTACTCTTGCAGGCTAAAATCTCTTCTGTCAAGTTAAATAATGCAGCCATTTTAAGACAGGAAGCGCTTTACCATCGCCAGGTGGAAGAAGAGCAGCAGAGGTACTGTAACGGAATGAAATGACTGTTTTCCACCAAAAGTAATTTCCCCCTCTCCTCTGACACAGAACTAGTCTGCATGAGATATGGCCTCAAGGTCTCATGCATTTGATTATAAACTGCTTCTTTCCAGTTCAACAGAAGAATGAAGAAAGGACTATCTCCTTTTAATAAATCAAAGAACTCTATTTTTAATCAAGCTAATCAAACAAAGTGTTAGTCAATAATAAGATGTGACCAGTCTGTGAAATCAAAATATTAATTACTTTATTATAATCCTATAGAATATAATCAGTAATATGACTTAAATGTTTCCACTAGGACTGATCTCACGTAGAGTTAAGAGACGACACATTGCTTTACTGATCCAATCAGAATCTGCCGGATCTGACGGAGGCGTGGTTTTGGTGGTGTTTGGTAAATCTGTCATATTTTCATTCGACCATAAACCAAAACATCCGAAGTATAAAACTATGCCCACGTCATCTCTAACGCCAGTTCAAAGCGTTCTAGAGAAGTTGTCGGAGTGGCCAATCCGTAACTCTCCTCTTCAGCCAAAAGAACCAACGACAAGCTGGATAAAACCTGTTGCTGTTCCAACTGCTGCTTACACCATACATTTAGTGTTAAAGTTAGTCTAGTTTTAAGTTGTTTAGTAATAAATCTTTAAACCTTTAAACCTGACTCTTCTGTTGTCTCTGAGTTAATACGAGGTTGTTACCTAATCCCTGCAATAAAAAGTTCCAATCTTCTGGTTAAACAGTGCCCACAGATCCATAAGGTTGATTTCATATTTCCTATGGAATCCTATGTCTTATGGCTTATTAAATAACATGTAATTTAACTCATTACAGTGCCGAACAGCATCTCTAACTTCTACTTCCAGACCTATTTCAGGGCGTTCATAGCTAAACGTTGTTGTGTCACAACACAGAATAGAGCAGCTGGTGCAAGGAGCGCGAGACTCTTCCAGCTTCCTGCAGTGGCAGCAGGAGATGCGTGAAAAGGACCTTCAGGAAAAGTTACCAAGGATGAAACAAAAACATCTGGAGACACGCATCAGTGAAGAGAATGTAGCTCTGGTTCGTAAGCAAGTGGCAGAAAACAACCAGAAGGCTGCACAGTTGAAGAAGGAGGAGGTGGGTAAAAATGACTGTGATGAATAGATTTACGTAGGATTACACCGCGCTTATACCACAAGGAGAATTAATTACACACCAAGTTCTGTTTCTTTAAGAAGGATTCGCAAACTTGCGTGAAAAGAAGAGTTTTATGGTTGATTTTCTAGACCTTTCAGCTGATGCAGAAATATGCAGAGAAACGGATGCAGGAGGAAAAAGAGCTGAGAGACTTGGTGCAGCAGGTTGCAAAGGGCCACAAGAATCCAAAAGCAGCTAAAGAGAAATTACAGAAATTAAAGCAAAACATAGGTATGCCTCGTTATTTCACAGTTAACAGGAAGTAGGATTTACACAGATTTTCATTTAGTTATGACCCACTTTGTTTCACTTTTTCAGTTAAAGAGGTGTCTGAGCACAATCAAGAGCTCCTCCGACAAGCACTCGAAGAAGAACAGGTTCGGCTGTGTGAAAATGTCAAAAAAATCAGTGAGATCCACGCTGTGGAATCCCTGCAGCGCGATAAAACCAGCCGCTTTGATGACACAGAGGTAAGTGGTGGAAAAGGGAGGACTTCTCACCCATTTCTGTCTTGGATAACTCATCCCTCCATTGTGTCAGACTGCAGGCCATCAGATGGGGGAGATGTCGCTGGCTGAGCTGAAGCAGCGCCTGGCCTTTCTGAAGCAGTCCCAGCAACAGGAGCTGGAGGAGAGACACTCCCAAATCCTGCAGGAGAACAAGAAAAAGAAGCAGGACATGCAGGAAAAGTTAGAAACCATCAGCCTCCACAACAGAACCCTGGCACAAGCAGCAGCCAACAGGTCAGCTGACTCCAAATGATGCATCAATAATACTAAATTATGACTTTACATGTTTTTAATGGTGATGTCGTGCAGGAAAGAGGAGAAGAGGGCCAAGCAGGAATTCCTAAAGCAGCTGGTGGATCAGGATGAAACCGTTTTAGCTCTGAAGAAGAAGCTGGAGGAGCAAAAGCAGCAGCGCAGACAGCTGAAGTTACTGGAGAAGTCCAAAACCAAACCCCAGACAGGGACTCCAGCAGCAGCACAAACAGAAACACACGGCCGGGTTAGTTTTAACACAAATTAGGGCTATTTTTGTTCAAATAGTTTCTTTAATTGTCTGTTCTTTTGACGTTTTTCTCCAGCAAACTTCAAACAGGAAGAACTGGGAGGAAATTAACCAGCAAATGTAGCTCTACCTTCAGGAATTTTAGGATTTCTAAAACCGATCAGCTGAAAAGCAAACACTGCACTCACTGATGACATTTTGAATAATTTTCTTTTTATTGTTCTTGAAGTGGACACGTTGGATTGAGAATGAGTCAATCTAGTTTATTCAAAGAATAAACAAATATGATTGTTAGTCCTGGTTTGAGGCTTTTGTTCTTTTCATTTCCTCAAAATAAAAGAAAAGGTGAAACAGGAAGTTGTTTTATTTCATGACACCAGAGGAATTGTTCCCCCTCAACAAAAACATCTTTTAACTGAATAACACGCAGCATCACACAGAGCGGTTGGAAATAATACAAACATGAAAGCGTAAAAAGGGTTTATAATTAATAAATATGTAACAAACACGTGAATAATTAGTCTCTGCTTTCCCCCACAAGCTTTGCAAATGTCTTACATTTCTGTGTTGACATCTGTGGATTAGATTAGTTGCACGAGGTTGATGATAAAGGCATAATCTTCCATACCTGCAGCAGTGGTGACCCTGCTGGTCGCTGAGTGTAACAGCAGGAGCTCTGGTCTGAATCCAGCCCTTTTCACTTCAGCTTTTTTAGCCTCCAAAGTAAAATCACATGATTTTTGTGTCATATGACACCGATGTGAAGACCGATTCTCCTGCAAGCTGCTGTGCAGAAACACTTGGCCACTTGTCAGGGATGAGATGCTGTAGACGATCACTGCCGGGTGGAAGAGATCACTGATCTGGAGGATGGACCGCTGGGGACTTTTTCCTGCCACTGCTGCCGTTTGTTTTATCGGTGAGTTTTGTCCCTTAAAGAGACATTTTGAGACTCATAAACATTTGATTAGGTAAAGCATCCTAAAGTCACTCTCCCATCTTGATTAGACAAACTAATAATCAGTGTTTGTTGCTGAAAATATTAATTAAAGATGTTTTTCTGTATTTAAACAAACTTTTTGTGGGCAGATTTCAGCAGGAGAAGATGCAAAACCAAATTTAAACACACACAACATCTAATTCTTTGATTTATATGCCATCTGAATGTGCAATAGTTTGTGATTTTGATTAAATCTGCTAGTTTTGCTATGATATATGCATTAATTGCTATTAGATTTAGTTTTTTATTCTACTTTCAGCCATTTTTTGCACCTCTAACATTTTGGAAGAGAAACGTTTCCAGCCCAACAGAGCAGAGACATCACATGACCCCCTCCCTCTCTCTAAATAATTCAATTTTGCGAGGATGGTGGCTTCTATTTGAGAAAGCACTTGAGCACATGGCTTATGTGATTAACTCCACAATATGGGCTCTGTTTTGTGTTTATACGTGTTGCCTGCTATTTGTTTTTGCAGTATGATGCTGAAGCAGTGCAGGATGACTCAATCATGCTTTTATTTTGCACTATGATGCAGTTTTTCCTATAAATAATGGGATTTAATTAAAAATTCACTCACAAGGGATCTGAGACAGCATCTTTGCTTTTTTGTGTGTGTGTGTCCATTGCTGCATTAATGATTTAAGATTAGACCAAAAAGAAACTCCAAAGTTCAGATGTTGTTTTGCAACAGAGCAGAGATCGGTCCAAAACTGTCTTTGTGCTTTTTTGTGTGTGTGTTTGTTTCAAAACTCAAAGGTTTGTGAGTGTTTGGGGATTATTTTGGACAGTTGTTTGTGTGAAGATGACCTGAGTGTTTCCTCTTGCAGGCATGGTGCTGAGTCAGACCACTCCCACTCCTGCTGTGATGAACACCACCCTCCTTCAGAGCACCACCGGTCTGACTCCAACACCCGTGATTCTCAGCAGCACAACCCTAGGCTGCAACGAGTTTAACGTTTCCACTTGTGAGTCCTGTGCACCAGGCTCACAATACGACAACAGTGAGTCAGTCAGTGTATTTAAACCCTAAATCCTCACATTTTATTAGTAACTTCTTAGATTGTTTGAATCAGAAATGAGTATTTAACACAGTAGTTATTAAAAACTGTTCTCTATCCCTCACCAGACACGCTGCTGTGCACGTGCTGTTCTGATCCCGGGCTCTGTATATTTCCTGGAGCTTGTCTGCCTTGCAAAAAAGGCTTTTATCAGTCACTATCAGGACAGCAGGAGTGCCTGCCCTGCAGTCGGGGCTTCTACACCAAGTAAAGACACAGATTGTGTCAACAGGTTTAAATGTTGACTTTTAGCGCTGCTAGATTCTTGATTGTCCTTTTTTTGTGTTTGCAGTTTTACCGGAAGTCCGTTATGTCATCCCTGCCCTGCTGGATCCTTCAACAACAACACAGGTGGAGAAAGTTGCACCAGTTGTTCACCAGGTGTGTAACACCATTACATTTGAGCAAAGCCACAGTTTTAAATGTAATTTGAACAGTTTGATGCCTGTTGAACTTTTTTTTCTGTTTGCTGTTCTCAGGTTTCTTTGCATCAAAGCAGAGCTCTACTTCCTGTTTGCCATGTGCACTGGGAAATTTCTGCAAGTGAGCTTTTCAGATTTCTAACAGATTCTGCTTGTTTTATTATTTGTTGTTTTCCTGAAACTTGGATCTTGAAAAAACAGACTTATTTTTGTCTGTGTAGGGTGTGTGTTTGGAAAAATAACTTATCTAACCACCAAAATTGAGCATCACATGATTCATCTCATGTTTGCCACCGCAAATAAACACACACGGCAACACACACTAAAAAAGCCACACACAGCCAGCTGCACAGCTGGGGCTTTGAGCAACTGAAGGCATTTAAATTGTAAAAGATCTCTGTGTTTTGTGTGACTAGTTGTGAGACTGGTTTGGTAATGTAGGACAGAAATCTATTAAAACATTATTTGAGGTAAAGTTGCTTCAACTTTCAGAAACATGCTTTCCACACTAGTTTGAATAAACCATATATTCTATACATTAGGTTTATTTAAATAAAATAATTTTAAGAAAGTAAGACAGAAATGCAACAGCCTAATCTAAAAACATTTCCTTAACTTTTAAACTATCATCTGATTATAGATATGTTAATTTTTTAGTTATTTTAATTCTAAAGCCCAGACCTGACATCAGTAACATCAATCTTCACTTTTTCTATTTTATCGCTGCAGTGATAATAATTATAATTTAATGACTATTAACACATTTTTATTTCCATCAGCTCCTCTAGTTGCACACAGTGCCAGCTCTGCCCTGCAGGAGCAGAAGCTCTGCAGACTGCAGCTAAAGCCTGCACACCATGTCGACCAGGTACTTCACTTGATGCCTGCGTTCATTTTTGTAAATATTTCAAGGGTGCAGAGGATTTCAATTACACTTGATGTAAACAGGCATGCACAAAGCTCCCCGTCAGACATTGTGCCAGATCTGCAACAGCGGCTTCTACCAGATTCTCTGGGGCCAAGAAAGCTGTGACATCTGTCCAGAAAACCACTACTGCCCTGTGAGTGCTGCACACCCTCCACGCGCTAATATAAATGCATTCACTGGGGTTATGTTGTAGTGATGGAGAACTTTTGTCTCTCAGAGCCCTGATGTGAACCCCATCCTGTGTCCGAATGATGCTTTCTGCCCCAAGGGGAGCACAGCTCCAGGCTACTGCATGGAGACGTTCTTCCGCAAAGCAGGGGAGAGCTGTGAACTGGCACCTGTTACTATTGCTCTGCTAGTTATCGGAGGAGGAGGTGAGAACTGAAAGATTAAAAAAGGAAATTATGTCTAAATTTGGGTTCATGCTTGTATAACACTAAATAGTTTTTTAACCTTCAAGCTAGAGATTTAACATTGATCTCATTTAATGTTGGGTTAGAAACTTGACCAGTTTCATGACCCCACCACCACAACACCACAGCCATCTACTGGCCAGAAACTGCACTTAACAGTTTTGTGGAGGGGGGTAGGTGTTCTAGGGGGTGCTCTTATACATGCATTACGGCTGTTAGCATTACTCTCTTACTTTTACTCCAGGCTCTGCCATGATGCCAACAGTAAAGCAAACTTCTTCTTTTTCTTCTCCTTGTGCTTTTTATTGACTATCAGTAACCTGAAAAAGCTAACTGCGCAGAAAATAGCCGTAACACATGTATTAGAGCACCCCCTATAATGCCTACCCCCTCCACAAAACTGTTAAGTGCAGTATCTGGCCAGTAGAGGGCTGCAGAGTGGTGTCGAATATAAAACTGGTCAAATTTCTAACCTCACAATCACTAAAGTCAATGTTAAAGCTCTAGCCTTAAAGTTTAAACAACTGTTTTGTGTTACTTTAAGGTAATCTGGCAGGAAACAGTGGGAGTTGGTGTTTTAGACATCAGCTGCTGCAAGACAACATAATGAAATGATAATAAGAATCATGCCCACACAATAATTCATTCTTTGTCAAAGGTCCTTTTTCAGTCACATCCTGCCCCGCTTTCCTGTTTCTTATCTCCAGTTGCTTTACTCTTCATCGTTTTATTGATTCTTCGTCGACGGAGAGAGGCAGATGGAGAGCTGACGGTTGCCCGAGCCCCTCTGCTACACAAGGAGCGACCCCAGGGTCGATACTACGGGCTTCCCTGTGACACGGAGCCTGTTTACGCTGGCTGGTGAAACACTAAAACACAACAGATCTGAGAAAAGCTTCACATTCCACCTACGTTTTAATGAGGTGCATTTGGACAAAGCTATTGCCAGAATTTAATTATTATGTTAGGGATAAACAAGCAGTTTATTGGATATTTAGAGAATAAAGGCCATGGAATTTTGTCCCCACGTGAAAAGCACTTTTTATTGTGTAATTTCCTTTGTATATTATTAAAAAATATATTCAATTACATTAATTTTATTTTGTATTCAAGTGTGTATCGGTTGTTCTGTGACAGAAGTGTAAACAGAGGCTTGTGTTTTTACTATTTCATCATTGAAAGCTGCGGTTTTCTGAGCTGTTCAACTGTTTTTTAAATGTAAAATTTGTGTGTTTTACAAGAAAATAAAGGAAAAAGTTTGGGTTTCTAACTTTTCTATTGAGATTAAAGATTCTGTGTTACTTATTAAACTTAAAAAAACATTCAAAATGTGTTTTTACTAACATATATGCACTTTACTTTTAGAGTTTGACACTTTTTATGACATGATATTGTCATAAAAATATGATATTTTATGACATTTAGGATTAAGATTAGAAATTAGATTAAGAAATAGTTTTCATTAAAAGCCTCCAGATCTGATATTTTATTATTTAAAGAAAAAAAATTATGTCAAAAATAACACGAATTATTCATATGTGTTTTAGTGGTATTTCTTTATTTGTAAAAGTAAACTTTTTGCTGAAGTATTTTTTAAAGAAAAAATATAAATATGTTAAAAACAAGAATATTTTTTTTCATCCCCAGCGATGGTGATTTTCTACTATTTAAACCGTCATGTCCAACAGGAGGCTGTGACAAATAGCATAGCTCAAGATCAGATTGACATGTTTGCAGGGTGTACCAACAAAAAGAAAGACAGATTTTTCTTGTGCTCTGTGACCTTTGTGCACAAAAAATTACACACTGGAATGCAAGACAATTTTCTGGTGGATGATACAAGCTTCTTCAGATCTTGAGATCTTAATCTTTAAAATGTGCCTTTTTAAATTAAATAGTTAATAAGTTATCACAAGTCAAACTCTGTAAACGATATCCCTGCTGTTTTAACTATAGTTTTTAGTTTTAGTTTTTTTAGTTTTAGTTTTAGTTTTATTTGTCATATGCAAGTTAGCACAGGGTCAACATTGCAATGAAATGTGTTTGACGAGCAGCGGTCTCTCAGCAGCATAATACAATAGAAAAAGAAGAAGGTATAATACAGTAAAAGCAAAATATTATAGAGTCATCCTAAAAATAAAAGCTTACTAAATAGATAAGTAAGTATAGATGACTAAATATAAATATATCTAAAAAAAAGTGAGTAGTAACATTAAAATGAGGTAACCAGTGCAGATTAAATTTTACTTGTGGAGCTGCAGGGTAACATCTGTATCCTGTGTTGTGTGTGTTTAAGTGTGTGTTTAAGTGTAATGGTTGAGGTGTCGTATGGCTTGGTCGTAGAAACTGTTTTTAAGTCTCGTAGTCCGAGCAGGCAGACTCCTGTAACGCCTGCCAGATGGTAACGAGGAGAACAGCTGATGCACTGGGTGGCTGTGGTCCTTGATGATGCTGTGTGCTTTCCGGAGGCATCGCTGGAGATAAAAGTCCTGAATGGCAGGAAGCCTTGTGCCAGTGATGTGCTCTGCTGCTTTCACCACCCTCTGTAGTGATTTACGGCTGCTGGCAGAGCAGCTTCCATACCAAACTGTGATGTTATAAAACACAATGTTGAATATCAACTACCTTCTCTATAATATCTCTTTATAATCAGCAATTCATTGCTTCCTTTTATATTTTGTATTTTATAGATTTTACCCTAAAACTTAGTTAGATGCTCCGTTTCATTTATTTGATGATTTCACTGAGAAAACCGACCTACAGTTTCTGCATTTATCCGCTAGGTGGTGCTAATAAACAGTGTACTGCTGGAAGCAAATCAACTTTTGGTCCAAACAGGACTCCGTACTTCCTCACACAGAAAATCATGGCGGCTGCTCTGGCAAGAAGGTTATCGGGTGTGTAAACAGAATGTTATCGACGTTCACGCGTTTGTGTAAAAGCTGAAAGTACATTAAATTTTCCTAGATACTGACAAAACCTAAGTAATAATAAACATGCTAATCTAGGAGCATAAGCTAAGTCGCAACGCTAAGCTAAATGACGTTTTTCTGTTGCTAATGGCTCGTGTCCTTGTGTCCGACAGGACTGCTGAGGCCGCTGTCTTTATGCGCCAGGACTTCGTACATCTCTAACCCTTTCAGCCTCACCCAGGCTCCGTCTACCTTTAGTACAGCTTCAGGCGCTATCAGCGCTCCTCTTCGGGCTTCCTTGTGCCAGACACCCCGGTGCAACATCCTGCAGCGGTAACGACCACAAGTTTTAAAGTGTATTTGGACACATGGTGGGATATATGATAAATATAGTATGATACACACTCTTAAATGTTGTCAGGTACTGAAAACAAGTAGTTTTTATTCCTAATAATGATTTAGTCTGACTAGTTTAAAGTTTAAATTAATCCAAGCTAATTAAGTTTTGGCCCTCGAGGGCCACCACCTGCATGTTTTCTCTGTTTTCTTGCACCGACAGACCAGGCTCGAGTTTCTGTAGAAATTCAGGACATGCTGAAAAGGCTAATTGATTGTATCAGGGTTGTGGTTAAGAACGCTGAAGGACCAGGATTGAAAAGCGCCAAAGCCTTTTAAAAATACTAATGATTAATATCACCTGTAGTTGTCTCAAATATTTATGATTCAATTAGAGATGCTTAAGTAACATTTGCTTTTCTGTGGTGTTGCAGTGTGTCAGCACTTGTTCCCAGCCTGTCTCTGCAGCCATGCAGAAGTCTGACATACTGGAGTTTAAAAAAAGGAAAGAGGAAGACTGTCAAATCAGTGACCGACAGATTCATGAGGCTGCACTGTGGTCTTTGGATCAGACGCAAGGTGTGCATTTATTTTTACCGGTTTATAGTTTTATTTAATACATTTAGACAAAAAAAAACTTCCCTAAACAGGTTTTTATTATTTTCGTTTTTGTGAACAGGCTGGATACAAGAAAAAGCTCTGGAAGAAGATGCCTGCCAGACGAAAGCGCTTGAGAGAAATAGTATTTTGTAACAAAACACAGAGTAAACTCCTGGATAAAATGACAACTTCCTTTTGGAAAAGGAGAAACTGGTACCTTAATGATCCGTACCTCAGGTACCACGATCGGGTTAATCTGAAGGTATAATTTACTCGTTCTTTTCAACGTTTGACGGAATATTGTGTAAAAATGGAATAAAACATTCTGTCAAAACATGTTTTTGATTTCCATTTCTTAATTTTTTATTTTACACAGTGCAGTAAAAAGAGTTATGTATCTTGAATTTGACATGTTTCTGCTAGCGACTTTAGCCATCATCAGAGCTTGCTGGTGTTGGTGGTGTCACTTCAGTTTGTCTGTTATTCTATTTGTGATTTATGTTTTCTTTTTTGTTTTGTGGAAAAAGACAAAGCACCAAGAAAAAGATTTTATTATATTTATTAACTTAAGTTGATTTAACAGAAATATTAAACTTTTTTGGAGTCATACATGATGCCATCATTCACTGCATTTTTGTTTTATTCAGTTGAAACGAAAGTAATTTGATTTTCTGGCCAGCCAGAATCTTCGTAAGGTCGTAAATTTGCACAATATACCTCAAGAGATGTTACAGCCATGGAATAAATCACTCCTAATGCTCCGGTTAACCAAAGCAAACTAAGAAAATAATTTGAAGAGGCCAACAGCTTCACACAAAATCAAAGAAACCACATTTTCATACAAAGTAAGATCATGCGTTGAGGTTTTTCTTCCTACACACAAATACAAGTTTATGTCTTATGCAACATTTTTTTTCTGTTTGCATAAATTTTAGATGAAAACCACCTTAAACACTAACACTGATGCCACTAAGTTTTAAACACAAGAAAATCTCCCACAATTTGTCCATTGAAAACCCTTAATGTGCATATTAAGTGTATTTATAACTTCAGACCCAATGACGTGTAAACAACAGCTGTACCTGAGAAGCTTTTGTTTTTAACTTCTAATCGCTGTAAGATAAAGATGGGATGATGTCGTCACCCTCCACCACGATGAGAGTTGGTGTAAAATGAGGGTTTGGGGCTGAAGTAATCGCAGAAGGAACATCAAATGCATCACGAGGTGAAAGCCAACGTAACCAGTCTCACAAGTTCTTACAAGGTAGCAGAAGCAAGTGAAGGTACAACTAGTCGCTCAGTTAACAGCAGAACATCACACAGTGATTTCAACGACCATGTTTATATACAACAGATATTTACTCTTAGTAACCAGATTACTGAACTCAAATCTTAATTATTCATGAAAATGACAGGACATGATTAAAATGATGGTCAAAGACATTCTGATCCCTTTTTTGTGATTTTTAGTGAAACAGGTGTTTTGATGAAATCTGTTTACTACAGAAAACCCTTAAACTGTGAAGGTGATTACGCATGTTTTATTTGGCCATATTTGAGCAGTTGGTTTTTATAGTGCAAGTTATTTTTTGTGTGAAACACTCTGAGCACATTTTCTGTCTGATAGCCTTTCTTCAAGTCTCAAAAAGAAGTCCATTACAGAATGGTGTGGTAGATGTCTAATAGTTTAATTAAATGTATCTTATTTTGAAATTAAGCCTTTGGGAGGGAGAAGGAAATATAAAAACAAAAACTCTGCTCACTGATGAGAGTAAAATAGTCTGTGATCCTCAGCTTGAATCAGATAATAATAAAAGTGCATTATGTTTACTAAACTGACATAATATCTGATCGCCTTCCCAGAACAGATGTTTAAAGCAAATAAAGCATGAAGATAAGGAACACAAACTGCACATAAAGACATATTAAAAACATAAAAGTCACAAATGCAAAGTGTCAATGAAAAGCTCACTGTTATTTTTTTACATCATGAGCCTTTTGTAATATTCTGTCTGTTGAGGGGTCATTTTAGGTCACTTTGGTAAAACCGTGTTCCAAAACAAGGCTGCTTCAGTCGTGTCGCTTTTGGCCATTCAGCATTTTTTTACATGTTGCAGCAAAGGCAGCTGGAGGAGATCTGAGGAGAGTTTCACATGGCTTCATTGTGAGAGGAAAGAGCACTCCTGGATCTTGTGAGAGGCCTTAAGACTCTATGAGGAGGCTGGAAAATAGTGAAAACAAGGATGGAGTTGGGTCAGTTATGGTCTATAAAGGGTTAAAGCAACTTTAATAACATTTAAAGCATTATATCGTATTTTATTAGTGGCATCAAGCAAAGTCAAAGCTGATTTTAAATGAAATTTCTCAAAAAAAAACATTTCAAATGTAGTTCTAACAAGCAAAGCCAATCTTCTTGTTCAGAAAACAAATCTTTCCAGTTTTAAAAAACAATTACTGCTTTGAAAAACAGATAAATTCTAATATTTTGCACTTTGTACCAGTGTAAGGTAAAAATAATTTTATTTTCAAACTAACAGATAGCGTCACCATAAAAACATAAAATTAGTTAATAACAATAACGAAGAGTAAATTTCATAATTGACAGATGATGGTTAGATTATCCTATTTGTTATTTATTTTAAACTTTTAAGTGTTTATTTTCACTTTCTGATATGTAGAAAGGAACTTTTTAAAATGGAATATTATTTTTGAACAAACATTTTTGGAACATCGGTAACACTTTACATCAAGGGTCTCTTTATTAACGTTACTTATTACATTATTAAGCATTAATAAACTAATAATGTATTAGCACTTGCTTAACCATATTATGTAATGCATTACTAAGCAGATGGCTGGCCCTTTGTCCTAACCTTAAGGACACCTAATAGTTAACAATGACAGTAACATTAATAAGGGACCACATTGTTTATTAACACTTCATAATTCATTAGGTAATGTTAGTAAAGGCACCCTTTGTTTATTAATGCTTATTAATGCACCAAGCAATGTTAATAAATGCACTCTTTGTTTATTAATGCTTAATAATGCTCCAAGTAATGTTAATAAAGGCACCCTTTGTTAATTACTACTTAATAATGCACTAACATTAATAAAGGCACCCTTTGTTTATTAATGCTTAATAATGCATTAAGTAATGTTAATGAAGGCACCCGTTGTTTATTAATGCTTAATAATGCACTAATGTTAATAAAGACACCCTTTGTTTATTAATGCTTAATAATGCACTAGGCAATTTAATAAAGGCACCTTTGTTTATTAATGCTTAATAATGCACTAAGTAATGTTAATAAAGGCACTCTTTGGTTATTAATGCTTAATTATGCACTAAGTAATGTGCTGTTGAAACATCTTTTATGACAATGAAAAATTAAATATCTAAATGGGAATAAAAACCATTATATTATTTTAAGCCTTTTTGTCATTCTGGAAGGAATCCACTTATTTTAATCAACACAAAATTGATATACAAATTACAAAGTAACCCAACTGGTTGTACCATGACCTGCAAAAGCAATCAGAAATGAAAGTGTAACAAATAAATATTGCTGCTTTCCAGAAATCATTTTCACAAACACTAAGAATGTTATTGTGAGCAGTCAAACACACTTCCAGACAGTTTATTGTGATTATTTTTGTCTCATGCTGTTTCTAAACACTATTCATTTAAATCACACATTTATTTGAAATCAACTCAAGTTAATCTGAAGTTCGTGCATCTGAGCTTCCAGCCTTGACACCAGGCCACCGAACCGAGATGAGTCATTCAGCCACGCTGCGGTAGTGGTGATCAGTGATTAAATCACCACTCACTGGTGTTAGAGCCAGGCAGCAGCTGAGCAGCCACGTTCACAAGGCAGAATACCTCAGGAGCTTTCCTCTTACTCAGCCTGAGCTGTGGAGAGCTGGACGCTGCCTGCACCTCCTTCACTGACGCCTCCTCAGACTCCTCCGGGGCTGTGGGTGGGGAGGGTGTGGGGGCTGGACTGGACTGGGGTAATGTAGTAGTGGGTGTGGACCCGGAGGCTGATGGAGTTTGAGACAGAAACTCTGCTGGGTGCAGTTGTTCCAGCCCCAACATCTCAAACTCTGTCATGTCAAAATCTGCACCATGGACAATAGGTCGGTGGAGGAATGAAGAACACACAAACACTTAACCCAGCTTGCAGGATTGTGTCGTTTCTGGACTTATTTTTATGCTCATGGAGATTTAAAGGTTCATTGTTATCCTGCAAAATGGACAATGATGAAGAAAACAAAGCTGATTTCTGCAGCACAGACATTACGACATTACATTGTTTCTATTGAATGTCCAATCAATAGTCAGTCTATAATGGCCTGTATTCGATATAGCGCCTTCTACCCCCTAAGGCGCTTTGCAACACGATCAGTCATTCACACTCGGGTGGGGATGAGCTACGATGTAGCCACAGCTGCCCTAGGGCGCACTGACAGAGACGAGGCTGCCGAGCACTGGCACCACTGGTCCCTCCGACCACCACCAGCAGGCAAGGAGGGTTAAGTGTCTTGCCCAAGGACACAACGACAGCAACAGACTGAGCGGGGCTCGAACCTGCAACCTTCCAATTACGGGGCGAGTACTGAACTGTGCCACCGTCGCCCACAATGCAGTAAGAAAAGAAAAGATGACTGGAGTGGTTTAGTTTTCAGTATGAACAATTTTTTTATTCAAACCCTCCTAGCTCCATTCTTATGAACTTTAATCAACTTTGTGGTTTATTTTAAATCATTTAACATTGTTTCATGATGACCCTGCACTTGTATAGCGCCTTTCAGAGTCAGAGGACTCTAAAGCGCTTTACACCACAGTGTATCATTCACCCATTCACACACTGATCATCAGAGAAGTCCATTGTTGATTACATTTAGTGTGAGATGTCCTCTGACTGAAAGTCCTACACAGCCTAAATAACACTTCTAATTTTATCTCTCATCTGAATAAAGCCATCGAGTCCTTGTGATGTTGAACTTGAAACAAATCCCTCTGGCTGTAGGTGAATTTCATCATAAGATGGTGATTCTGACAACCCTGCAGGCCTGGTCTGATCCAAACAGGAAGGTAAAACAGAAAAGAACTGATTCAAAACAACATCCAGAGGCTTAAAGACGCCTGAGCAGGAAGACACAAAATTACATGACGTTCCATAAGTCATCACAGGACTGTCGGTAAGTTAAAGCAGCAATTCAGAGTTTTCCCCCTTTCAGGAATTACGTAGGATTTTTAAGAAATTTGTAAATGTGAGTCTTACCCTGTACTGTGATATAATGTAGGCAACACGTTTATTTTTATTTTATCTAGCCCCCCCATCCTGTAGAGCCCCTGCAATTTGAAGTGAGCGCCGCTCAGCATTAGACGTGTTAGACATCTGCTTACGAACAGATGTCAATCACAGAGCGTGCATGTGTGTTTGAGGCTAGAGGGGCATGTTCATGAATGAGAGGCGTTGCTTCATCTGTAAACATGGAAGTAAGGAGAGGGGCTTAAGGTGTCTGTCTCTAGATGGTGTTCTTTGAGGAAAAATTCAGAATGCGTGCTTTCAGTTTTTATCAAAAGGTAACTCCTCACCCTTGTAGCTCTCTGACTTGCTGCGAATGATGGGTCTGCTCCGGTGCTGAGCTGCTGCAGGCTGATCCGTGCCAGGTCCGGTGTTAACCGGGTCAGACTGGAAGGACGACAGGTCCTGCATGCTGAAACTCCTCAGTCGGTCTGACAGAACCCCTTGGCCCTAAAGTCAGAGACATGCAGCTTTTTATGTGGGTGAAAACATGAGAGCCAGGCGTTGAATAAACACACAAGCTTCATCCTTTCCAACTGCGCCGGCAGGTCGGAGCATAACAAAAGAGCGGAGTCTGCGTTACCTTTGTTGCAGCCATGACTGCCGCCGTGGCTGCAACGTTCAGTCCTTTCCTCCCAAAATGCACCAGCGTGTCGTAGCTTTTGTCTTTCGCCTGGCAGATGTACTCATCGATGTCCTGCAAGAACACACTCACGTATCTGACCTCATTATGGTTGTGTAGATTATTCCTGCTGTTGTGTTTCTTATTAAACTTGTTCCACTCTTGTCTGTTTCCTGACTTGCACGGGGTTTAAAGAGAAGGCAGGGAAACAGAACAGCAGCGTTTCCTCTGACTTGTTCAGCAAACACATTTTCAACAGCTGAAGCGGGGAAAAGAAAATGAGCACAAAGACGTATCTGTCTGCTTCGCAGGACACTGCAAAGCTCTGACTCTATCAGTCACAAAGCTGAGAGCCTTGACCGAATATGCTCTCTTACTGAAAACCTTTACTTTGGATGCACCGGAAAAAACAAAGGAAAGGGATTTCACCTTTTCTTTTGAGGAAAGCGTAGGATGAACAAATTTCCTGTAGAGCACGCTGGAGCCCTTGGTGTACGGGGACAGGAGCCACACCACAAAGGCTATCTTCAGTTCATAGTAGAAAGGAAGCCTGCAACGACAAAAACACATCGTGGCAGCTAAATCTGTTTCCCCGAAAAGAGATGAAACGTAGCTCAATAACAACCATAAAGTCACTTACCAACAGACGAACATGTCTGTAAATACCTCCACTGTAGTGAATAGAGCAAATATTATCCAATACATCATCCATTTCACCTGTGAGATAAAAACAGGCATAGCATCAGAAAACACCAGAGAAAGTAAAAGTTGTATTAATTTTAAAAGTGTACTCACGTATTCTTTCACATCTTTTGTCTTCACAGCTTTATAAGATGAATATGCAGGATACAGTGTACCGAAAACAAGTCTGAAAGACAGAAAATGTTCCCGTCAGCTCCAATTTTACAGTCTACATATGTAGGAATGGTGTTTAAAATCAAGATTAGAAAAGCTTTGTGGAGAAAAAGTCGAGCACACTGGACAGCTGACATTTCAACCAAATATCTAAGACCAGATATTTGCTGTTAAACTAGTAAATCTGTTGTTTTCTAATGAAACGTTGCTACAATGCTGTGGAACAAATGTTAAAAACGTTCCAATCAGCAAATACATTTGAGTATCTGACAAAGATGACTCTGTTAAATAAAAAAAAAATTCTATTTTTCAACTGATAATTTCAGTTATGAAGAACCAACCCGGCTGTATATATAAATAAGTAGCCCCCCCCCCCCCAAATCATGAAGTAATCGTTATTATTCACATTGTTTAGGAAGCTTCAGTTTCACTAACCACACCCACCAGTACCACTGAGGAATGAGCTGTTTAGAAAGTGAGTGAGTGAGTGAGTGAGTGAGTGAGTGAGTGAGTGAGTGAGTGAGTGAGTGAGTGAGTGAGTGAGTGAGTGAGTGAGTGAGGGAGTGAGTGAGGGAGTGAGTGAGTGAGTGAGTGAGTGAGTGAGTGAGTGAGTGAGTGAGTGAGTGAGGGAGTGAGTGAGTGAGTGACCACACCCAGACCTGATTACAGCCAGATGTGTAGAATTAAATCATTTCAATAGAAGAGACGACATAAAGAGGGCTAAAAGATCTCTAGAAGCAACATGTCGTGCTCTGTTCTACGAGAACAAAATAACCCAAACCAACATCTAAAGCTCTGATGGCCTCGTTTGGTTCATGCCAGAGTTCATGATTTGTCAATAGTAACAAGACGAAGGACAAGTGTGCCATTCACGTGGAAACCTCTGCTGATCAAAAACAACAAAAGACTCAGCTCAGATGGACAAAAACTTAAAAAATAAACATCTTGAAGATTCCCAAGAACACAGGTGGAGCGTTTTGGTCGGTGAGTGTCCCATTGCATCTGCCACTGCATTTCAGAAACAGAACATCAGCAGTCAAGCACGGTGGCGGTAGTGTGATGGCTTCTGTGCTGCTTCAGGACCTGGATGGCCTTCTGTAATTGATGGACATAACTTCTGCTCTCTATCAGACAAACTTGAAGGATAATGTTTGACCTTTGACCTATAGACCTATATGGAAAATCATCTAATGTGGCTGAACTGAAACATTTCTGCAAAGACAAGCAGGACAGAATTCCTCCACTGTGATGTGAGAAATGCTTAATTGCAGTCTTTGCAAGCAAGAATGTTACGATTACGTTATTACGTTGAGGACCTGTTATGATATCTGAATGAAAGACTGATTGATGTTCTGTTTTGTTTATGAATAAACTGGTTTTGTTTTGTTAAAATGCTTCATTAACTGTAGGAGAGCTGGACTGACCCCCTCACAGGCTAAGCTGACAGAATGTATGAAGATCTTGCACTTGTTCTTTTCTTGAAGTTTCCATTTATTTGCTGCAGACACCTGCTGGTGCCAAGATAAAGACAGGGCCCTGACTCAACCGGGCAACAGCTGTGACAGCAAACCGATCAAATTACTGACCCACATCACGCTGCAACGCCGGCCTGACCAGTTAACTAAAGAGTTTAGGAGGGCAAGGACACTCAAAATATGATCTGTGTATGGGCGAGGAAGCACAGCCTTGCTGCTGTTGGCAGGAGCTGCATGCATGGGATCTAAAATGACCTGCATGCATGCAGAGGAAGTCCAGCGTGTAACAGGATCTTAATCTAAATTCATGACCTCACTATTTTAAGGTTTGAAACCTGCTGCATGGTGTTGCTTTACTGAAATGCAGATAAAAATGTGTTTTCTTCGGTGTTGGGGTGTGCACACTTTTATAACTCTTGCATTGTAACCCGAGAAGGCTGACCCATCCCTTTCGCTTTCTTGCCAATATGGGACATGAACACAACACATTGCTTTACTCAGGAGCCTCTCCTTGCCGCTCAAGTCATATTTAGGGCATAAAAGACGTCTCTCACATAGATCTGAGTCATTCTGACCACAAACTACTCAGCCAGTCACGTCTGGTCTTTGTCTCTAATGAAGACAAAAACATCTATGAGATAAACACAAAGTGAGCGCTGCTTTTATTTAGAGCCTCCTACAGGTCTGCGGGCCTGGTTCGGCTCTCCTGCTGAAATAATAAAGAACAGGCGGTTCAGTCAAAAATTAATAGACCGTCACCTGACCTCCGCACACGCTGACGTCTGATTCTGATTAAATTGGCTTAGATGAAATTGCGGGGGCTTGGAATAAAGCGCGCCCCTTCTGCGCCGCCAGTCAGCGATAGCAGGACGCGCGCTTGGACTAGGCTGTAACGGAGGGTTGTTAAATAAAACGGAATAAAGATGACTTACACCACAAGCCTAGAGATGATCCAGGAGACCATTGCGCTGGAGAGGCGACAGGACGCGCTGTCTGCGGGGAGGAGTTTCCTCCAGATGACAGGCGCGTCCACAGGCGGCGGCGTACGGACGCACACAGGCTGCAACGTGATGCACAAACACTCCGCGTCGGTCTTATCCATAGATGGCAGTGTTGCGTTACGCAGACGGCACTGAGCTGTCATGGAAGAAAGGTGGTAGTCGTCTGCAGCTCAAGGAGCATTATTATTACAAGAAGAAACTCCTCTGATATCTGATCTGAGAGCCAGACGATCCTCTCAAATAAATAAATACATTTTCATGTCACTGTTCATTAAAAATCTTTCAGAATAATTGCATTCTAACAGGTTGAGAGTTCACTTGTGAGCTCTGTCTGTTTGCACAAAAAGCTATTTATGCCGGATAAATTACTTAAAACAAATGATTTAGTGAAATGTGAGTGAAATCGTCTCAGAGGGTGAGAGGATTTTTCTGGCCCAGAACCCGAATGGCTGGATTAGGAGAGCTACTGTACCCTGGCTTTGTCCTGCCACTGAAACCAGGGAAGAGGTTTGGTTATACAACACCTGCAGAGGGAGGCTGAGACAGGAGGAAACTAAATCCTTTTGTCTATTTTAAAAAGCAAAGTAGGTGTCCTAAACATGCTGGCTCCAATAGCAGATCTCCTCCAGACATCTTTAAAAATCTGCTCCAGTTTAGCACCATGATAATCCCAGATCCCACCCACAAAAGGGCATCTCTTAGTTAAAAATAGAAAGTATTAATAATCTCTAATGAAATAATCTATTTTTAAGAACAGCAGTTTTCTTCCTACCAAATGTGCTGCAGTACAATTTCTGACCTGCTGAGTGAGCTGCTGCCAGATAAACGTTTCCCCTGAGGACGGACCAAACCTTAAGTGTTTGTCATGAAGGAAGGACACGGCGTACAGATAAATACTGCAAAGCACCACCAAGTACAGTTGACAGAGTTGTCCGCTTCCTTCTTAAAAGTTTATTAGTCCCCCCCCCCCCCCCCATTAACATAGAAAAATCGGATACACAATATTTAACAATACACAGAGACTCCAGTAACCAGTTTTAATTTAGCTCCTCTGCATCTTCTTTTGGATAAATAACTCAATTTTGGTGGAATAACAAACATCTGACGAGTTAATGCAAAACACCGGTAAAAAATAATAAGCGTGCATTTTATGCTGAGTGTACTTAACATGTATGACCACACATACAACTATTATATTCTGGCTGTACAGAAAAAAATAACAGACAACAGCTAAATCCACCCATCACCTCTAGTGTTTTGGATCATTTAGGACTAATTACCAGTGAAGAAAGGTACGGCTGACTGACTTATCAAGTGGCTTGGTTGGATTATAAATACCCATGTGCTTCCAGGACTAAATTCTGGAGAAAACAAAAAAAGCACATTAGGCTCAGAAGGTTTTTCCATAATTACATTATTTACACCTGTCTTAACCTTCTGACTGACTTTGGATGATAAGATATGCCCACAGCCACCCCCTTCAAAAAATAGTTCGAAAGGCAGACCATCTTTTTATTATGCTGTAACAAATCTACGTCATAGCACAATGTAAACCTCAAAAGATGAAGTGAAATTATAATATGAAGCAGAGGATGCTCAGCTCTGTTAACACTGCACCAGAATAGTCTCTGTCCTTGTGTGAGCTGACGGCGGCAGAAGGGCCGATTGGCTTTAGCTCCTCAGAGCTTCCAGCCTCGACTGCATTGCTTCCATGTCCTCCTCCTCTGACTCATCCTCTGAGGCAGCAGCTGCTCCGGCGGGCTGCAAATCTGGCAGGGCATCTGTGACTTTGCTTGGAGCTTTGCCAAGGGCACCTAATAGAGCAAAAGATTTTAACTTCTATTCCTCTGTGATAAATAAACATGATCAGGCTCAAATTTGTATAAAAAGAACCCCAGAATTAGAGATTTTATTTAAACCTGCTGTAAGATCAAAAAGGATCTTGTCCACTTCCTCCTCTGCTGCCTCCTCCATATCCTCTCCATCTTCCATGCTCTCAAATGTGTCCTCCAGCATTTCCTCAATGATACCAGCCTGATGTAAATGAAGAAATTATGGTTAACCTGAATCAGTAAGACACTCAGGATCTTCCTGTAGCTTGATGTCTGTGCTGACCTTTGTCATCTCCTTGGACAGTTCCCTCATGGTGGCCTGGATCTCTGGGATTTTGACCAGACTCTGCATGGCTTTCATGACCTCTGTGCTCTTCTGAAGGGAACCAGCAACACGAACCAAAGCTGAAAACAAAAAAATTTCCTTAATTATTGAACAAAGCTGAACCAGGAGAAGGCTGGTTGATCTTTGCCAACACTTAGTTCTTCCACGCTCACCAAGCTGATTCTTCATACTGAGCAGGATAGAGTTCATCTGTGCTTTGGAGGCATAAAGTTTTGTGACTGCCCGTTTTGAATGGATCATCTCCTTTGCAAGAACCACACAAACATCTTTCTGTCCTTTTTTGGCAGCATCTTTGATGGATCGCTTAACCTTTTCTTGTTCCCTTTGAATATCTGAAATCAAAGGGCATATTGTTTCAAGCACATGTTCACATCTGTTCCCAATTATGCCATTACTTTAGTTCATGCTGTGATATTGTGTTAGTGCTGCAGCTTGAAACTGAAGTCAAACTGTTATCCTAACATCTTCTTTTAAAAGCTGTGTGAAACTGAGAGGGGTTGTGTGTTCATTATTCCAACATGGCATTTTCCAACTTTAGAATCCTTTGATGAATAACTTCATTAAGTCAAATATTTATGACACTTGATAAAATTAGGCTGTTTTGCTCATTGGTACTTTGTTTTTATTCAAAACTGTTTCACAGCCACTTAGAAACTTCTTGAATGTAAATTTTAAATCAAATGCAATTGTTGTTTTGTGGAAATATTGGAGTCCTTACCTCGAATTTGTCTGTCAATCACTCTCATTTCCTTTCTTATTTTCTGAGACCACTCGTTGATCTGAAGAAGTACAAGAATTAGTAAAAACAGTAACAATGTGATTATAAAACTATTACAATTTTAGGTGTAGCACTTGACTGTAACTATGTCTAACAGCTGAACCGAGAGATGACTTCAGAACAATATGGGTTTGTTTACATGAGGACTGAGACACAAAGTTAGCATGTGGGCTAACTGTAATTCTCCAGGTCAGCTTAAACAAGTCACATTCCACCAAATTTATAAAATATCTCAGCTTAATGTCACGGGGAATGGTGGCCCGTTATTAGTAAGAACTGGGTTAGTTATTCGGTTAGCTGAAGTACTTGGAAGGACGGACAAACCAACGAAAGCTAACGCTAGCCATCTTAGCTAAAGACACCCTCACTTCTGTCTTAATACGAACAAAACTCGACAAGACAGTCCTGGTATAACATATAAAATACTCACCAAGTCTTTTGGTGGTTTTTCCGGTGTTCTACCGAACAACCCCATGGTAATTGCACTGGTCAAAATCAAGCTAAACTATCTAACTGAAACTAGCAAGCTAATCGAACGTTCATCCACTTCCTGTTTTCGGGCTGAGTACAAACATGAAAAACCGTTTAGTCCTTATGGTTCTCAGTTTTGTAGATACACTGAGATGACGAAACAAAGCTAAAATGGAACGAGAAGCGATGTCTGCTGAGAAAGGTCCTGAAATTTCATTTATCATTGTTCTAGCTTAATTTTTTATTATTTGATTGTTTTTACAATTCAAAATTTTCATAATAACTTTATCATGTTGACGTTTATTTCAATGTAGTTTATTATTTTGTTTATTCTTAATAGATGTAGTGGTTTGTTTTCTGTTGTGTGACTTTAAACTTGGAAAGTATCCTTTCATTTCTCCATCTTTAAATTAATGTTTGCTGGTTATCCGGAAGCCCATTTCTGCCACTCTGATAAAAAAAAGTCATGATCATGATATACCAATCTCATAAATATGAGATATTATTTCATAATTATGAAAAATTTCCTCAATATCATGACTTGGCTATCTCAAAGTTATGAAAAACTCTCATTTGCATGATAAAGTGGTCTAATAATTATGAGATAGTTAATTCATAAATATATGAGATACTAAAGTAGATCCTGATAAGACTTATCTTTTAGCAACCTGGACTCCAAACTTTTGATTTGGGGACTTCATGTTGCTAGAGAACTGAGGTGGCCCTTCTAAATATAACTTTACAAATAATAAACAATTTAAAATATATTTGAAATACATTAAGGTAATCTGTTTTCATGTCATCATTGGATGTAGAACTGACAAACAGATGCAAAATTATTTCTGTTTTATTCCAAAAGGTTTCAATATATTGGAAGCCAATTTAGAGTTAGATTTCTTGTGTTTCCACCTAGTTGACCTAAATAATAAATCAATCCCTTACAGACAGGGTATCTGGTTCTTAATCAAGTCAAATGACAGATTACAATTAATTAAATTACTTAAATTAAAAACAGCAAAAATAAGTGCATTTCTATTCTGATACAGGTTGTTTTTTGTACCTGAACCAATCCTCATGTAACCCTCTGATCTCTATTGGTAGCGCGACTCAGGGTTGTGAATGACCACAGTCACCAATTCTTGTCATGTGTCTTGCCCACGTCTGATCTCTGAATTGTGTGTACTGAAACTCTAATTTCCCTTTGGGATCAATAAAGTATCTTTGATTTGATTTGTATTTGGTTTTATTGATTGATTAGAATTTACAAACCTATGCTTGTATAGTACTGCAAAAAGTTATTCATTTTAGAATATTTTTTAATAACTAAATGTAATTTTTAAGGAGAAGAATCTCTAAGTCTTTGCCCATGTGACTGTTAGATGGTATAAGATCTGACGTGTTTGTAACATTTGATTTATAGAGCTGTTGTTAGCTTCTGCTTTAGACTGTTGATTTAATCTTGTTTAATACAGATCATTTAAAAATATTTATTGAGTTTCAACAGTTTAGATAAGTATAAGTGGAAATGTTCTGGCTTTCCTGTTTCCTAGTCGTAGACTATACATTGTTGATGCTAATTTTAAAAGCTGTCATGATATTTAAGTGGTAAGTTTTACTTTGAATAAATAAGTGCTGGCTGGTTGAATCTTGTTTAACTTTATAAAATCTATTGTGTTTGCCAGAGAGTGAAAAAAATCCATACTCTCGAAAACACATAGCCTACTAAAGTACAGATTTCTTGTGTTTCCATTTGATTAACCTAAAATACATATAAATCCCTTACAGAGTACGTGGCCATCAATCAAATGAAAAGACAGAAGTAATTTTCACCAGTCTGATAAAAAAAGTAATCTTGTATCTCATAATTATCCTCCTGAGACCTGAACCTGTATTTGATGTGATTAAAAAAAACACATATAACTATTACAGAGTAGTCTACTCTCATTAACGGAAACAAAATCCACTTTCTTACGTTAAAGTCAAAGCAGTTGATTCCAACTTTATGTTGGCCAGATACAACAGATTATGCTGATATAATCTACCAGAACTCCACTGCATCTTGTGTTCACATGATTGATATTATTTGTAATTTCGTTTTGTCTTGCGTTGTCAATTTCTAACTCACCACTGCCATATGTATACAGGGGCGTGTCCAATTAAGGAGTGGCCTGGGGTAGCAAATGCCACCCTTGGAATCTGATTGGCCACCCCAGGTGCCACCACACAGAATTCCCTTTACATAGGCTTTTCATTGTCCACAAAAGGCTTGGGGTAAAAACAAAAAAAGCATAACGATTGGTGCCACCCATGCACAAAGTGGTGCCACCCCATTTTAAAAGATCTGGAAACGTCACTGTATGTATAATCTTCTGTCCTGGCTTACACCTGAAGCTATGCGGAAGTTTCACTGGATGTTGTTTATTTTTAAGTGTGTTTATTTTAAAATTCCCTCATACTTAACTACCTTAGTACCATTCAGATCTCATTACCACATTCGCAGAATGCATCATGTTTCATTCGTCATCCCTTCCTCTAAATCAGAGTCAGGAATGCTGGCCTTTTCTATCAAAGCACCAAGAGACTGGAACAATTTGCCCGTTTTCCTAAGAATCATCACTACAATTCGTCAGTTTAAAATCTCTTTGTATGAATATTTAAAACCCACCTGTAATTGTTTTTGATTTAGATTTTTCACTTTTCTTTCTTTAGAGTTTATCTTTTAATTTGTAATTTTTATTTTCATTATTATTAATATAAATGTTTTTATTTTTATTTTTATAATTCCTATTGTGGTTTATATGTGTGTGTGGTATTGAAAGACTGTTTGCTGTCTTGGTTTACTATTTGTTTTGATTTGTATAAAGGACCCACTTGGAAACGAGATAGTTCATCTCAAGTGGTTTATCCTCTTGAAATATAATTTAATAAATAAATAAATGAATAAATTACAAAAATTAAATGAAAATTAAAAAAATGTCAAATTTTCTATAGAAAAAGAAAGAAAACAAAAAATGTTAAAGTCAATATTAATATCATGTATCTATAAATAATAACAAAAAGGTAAGGCGAAGATAATATTTTAAAAGTGCAAGGAGCCAATGGTCCTCATATGTGGACACAGGGCCTTAGAAGGTTATGACTTAGTTATCTCAAAATAACGAGACATTATGTCATAATTATAAAATAGCTCATAACTAAGAATTGGCTGTTTCATAAATGTGAGATACAATGTTTTTTTTGTAACAGTGGCAGAAACAGGCTTCCGTACAGTTGCGTCATTGTAGGCCACATCACAGATATGTATATAAATATAAACGATATAAACACGTGCTTATCTCATCAACATATATCTATGGGGCACATGCTACCTGCCTCTGGCAGACCCCAATTGTAGTAAGCCAATATAGCACATAAGATTAAGACTACGGGAAGATTTTTAGTTTTCGATAGCCATTTAACTTATAATAGTGCAAAATTCCGTTATCTGTTTTTGATGTCAAATAAATGATGTCGCTAATATAAAATAATAGCGGAGAATATTTGTCAAACGGTGAATTGTGGTCGTGTCAACTGTTTATATGTCACAGCGGATTGCCTTGAGAGACCTCTTGAGCGTTAAAGATAAACGTCACGTCTCTGCTTCAAAGTGACGTCTTAACACGCTCCCTTTCCAGGGGGTTCTGGATTGTTCTTTTATTGATCTGTCGCTTAACCAATCACATGTGAGTTACGCACCTGAGCTGGCCAATCAGAGCTGTAGGGGGTGGGATTTACGGAGCATCCCTACTGTCAGAGCTGCTAGGTGACGTTAGGGCCGCCTAGGAATAGGAGAATCCGCTCTGGTCATCATCGCTCCCAGGGATTACACCCAATGAGTTTGCTATATCCAGCCCGACTTACGTAACAGCTAGTAAATTCAGCCAGACCACGTCCAGGAAGCGTAGCTTCATCGAGCCGGCGACGACCGTTCTTTTTGTATTATCTGGAATTCCTTTTTCCTTTTAAGTGCGTTTTTTAACGTAGGATAGAACTTAGACGAAGGATTTCAGAGCGCTCATAATGTCAGTGGTTGGCATTGATGTGGGTTTCCAGAACTGTTATGTCGCCGTGGCGAGGAGCGGCGGCATTGAAACTGTTGCCAATGAGTACAGTGACAGATGCACACCGTGAGTATGAACCGCGCACGGGAGTTTGTTACGCAATATTAGGAAAGGCCGGGCCCCGTTACAGTGGGTCCATCACAGCAGGTAACCTCAAATCAAATTGTTGCGTCTGCGTCTCTTCTTAAAAGGACACTCCTCCAAAGTCCACTCCAAACTTATCTGGGTTAAACGGCATTAATTAGGTGTATATATAGGACGCTAATAATGAAACATTGATTTGTTTTAACCAGTGACGTTGCGTCTTATGTGCCCCCCACCCCACCCCAAAACCAGCTACACCCTTAAAATCCCACATGACTCACCCAGCTCATGCATCAGTCAAAATAGCGCTGGTGACACTTATTTGGGATGGAAAGATGCATTTCCTTTTAGCATCATCTGTCTCTAGGCTGCAGTTTTGGCAGCATCCTGCAGGGACGTTCAGCTGCATACAAGATGAAGGAATATTTTTGTGACAAGGTGAAGCTAGTGTTTTTACCAGAGCCGGCCCTAGGCACATGCGAACTAAGTGACTGCTTTGGGCCCCCACATCACCCGGGGGGCCCCAGGAGCACCAAGGTGACATGAGTAAAAAACAATGTCTCTATAATTTTCTGTGGTGTCATTTGGTTTTAGTTTGTAATACCGCACACTTTCCACATGTTTCAAGTTTTAAAAACAAAAGATAGTAAACCAAAGTTATTACTGTAAATTCAATGTTTGTCTGCTGATGTTTCTTTCAAATACCTGAATTAATATGCCACACTTAAAGGGACTTTACAGAGTTTTGAATTTTTATGCTCGCGATTGCCCCCTCAGGCCAAAAGCGTAACGGCAGCTTCAATAGTAGGCTCGTGCACGAGGCGTGCATGCTGTATGTGCACACTCCTTAACGAAAATAACAGCTGAGACAGTCCCGCGTGTGTGTGTGTGTGTGTGTGTGTGTGTGTGTGTGTGTGTGTGTGTGCGGCCCGGAGGACAGAGGACAGGAGAATGCGCAGCTAATTAATTAAATAAGTTGGTCCTGTACCTTTCTCTTCAGCACAGCCGACAAAGGTTTAAGATGGGTCAGTCCTCCTGCATGCTCAGATCATTCCCTTCCCTTGCTTGAAAAATTGTTCCAAAATGAAAGTTGAACCCACATCTTTTTTATCTGCGAATTCAATGCCGTTCGGCGAGTCTCAAATTAAAATTTGGGAATCTTACTGTAAAAAACATACCATTAATGTAAAAAACAAACTCAAAATAAACTATGTTGACATCCAGAATCAAACCCGGGTCTTCTGAACGAGAGTCCGACCGACATCTTACTAGGTGAACTAAAGCGCCAGTGACAACCTTTGTATCTGTAACATTTATATCCTTAATGACAGCTGAAACAACGTTCAAAGAACGGCTTGGAGCGAAAATGGCTATTTTGTTGCTAATTTGCAGGAAATATCTAGAAGAAAGATCTACAGAAAGTAGCCAAGGGTCCTCAGAAATGTAGCTAGCTTTGTCACTAGGCCTTAGGAACAGTGACAAAGACTAAAGCTATGGATAGCAAATGCTACGGGCTATGCCTGAGCGTGAACGCGCATGAAGCAGCCTGCTCGACCCGAGCAGCTCTCTTTTTCTGTGATTTTACAGAAAAACAGGCAATCACAGTAAAAATGCCAGGGCTCATTCTATAGGACCAGGGCACTGCAGGAGAATGTATGAAGAAGAAATGTATTATTTCTATACATGTTTTGGCTGTCAAACTTCCATAATGCCCCTTTAAATAACACTCTTCATTTTAAAATGCTAATTAATTAGAGCGTGGATTGCTGCTCCAATAAAGTTAAAATCAATATCCATGATTGGTGTAAGCTAATTACAAAAGATGCTAATGATAGTGGGCCTGTTACACATAATGGTGCAGCTTAGGAATGATGAATCATCTGGTGTTGGCTTTTTGGTTTGGGGGGCCCCCAAGGAAAACCTGTTTAGGGCCCCACAATGGCTTGGGCCGGCCCTGGGTTTTAGTCAGTGTTAGTGAAATGGATCCCCCCAAAAACCCACTTAAAGAGATGCATGTTTTCTCTTATAATGTCAGCCAAGGGGACCTCAATTTTGAAGGTGAACTGATTCGTCTCACTGGCCCAGTTTGCGGTTTCTCCTCAGACTCCCTTGTGATATTTTCTTCATTTCAGAAATTCCACGTTTCCCCCTGAAACATGTAGTTCAGTGGAATCCACACCATTTATCTTAAATCTAATTTGCTGATGTGTTTGACTGAGTTTAGGGCATGTGTTTCTTTGGCCTCCAAAAATCGTGTGATTGGAAATGCAGCCAAGAGTCAGGTGAGATCCATGGAAATTTGTCCTACATTTTATCTTCTTTATAAATGACCTTGAACAGATGATAACTTAAAAACAATCTGTTCACTCTTTTTTCCAAATAATCAGATCATTACAAACTTCAAAAACACCGTGCATGGCTTCAAGAAGTTCCACGGCAGAGCATTTGATGATCCATTCGTTCAAGCAGAAAAGAGTAAACTCCCTTACAGCTTACATAAGCTGGCCAATGGAAACACTGGAATTAAGGTATAGCTTCATCAGCACGTTCCATTTCACTGCTTTAGCACGATCTTCTGCTGTTACTGCAAATCCCAGTTCTTTTAATTAAGCCACAATGCTGAACATCACAAGTTAGTTTGATGCACATGTCTTTAGTTTATTATTTCACTCACCTTACTGCTTTTTAAAAAATGTACACAGGTGCGTTATTTGGAGGAGGAGAAGGTGTTCACGGTGGAGCAGATTGCTGGGATGCTGCTTACCAAGCTGAAGGAGACGTCAGAGAGCGCCTTAAAGAAGCCAGTGGTGGACTGTGTCGTCTCTGTGAGTGACAAGAACATTAAAGCGAACTGTCCATTTCAACAAGCTGTTTAGGGTTAGGGTTGGGGAAACTCACAAATTCCTGCTTTTGTGGTTTTACAGGTTCCAAGTTTTTTCACAAATGCTGAAAGACGATCGGTCCTTGATGCAACGCAGATTGCTGGGCTGAACTGTTTGCGGCTAATCAATGATACAACTGCAGGTCTGTGTCCTGCAGTAGATTTTAAACGACCCGTCCAGTGAAGACTTAAAATAGATGCTAATAAATAAATGCTAATAAATGCGTTTATTCCAAACAGTGGCTTTAGCTTATGGGATTTACAAACAAGACCTTCCCACTCCAGAAGAAAAGCCGAGGAATGTGGTTTTCGTGGACATGGGGCATTCATCATTTCAGATCTCCATCACGGCTTTCAACAAAGGAAAACTCAAGGTGAGACTTTTATTTTTTCTGTTGGTGTGCTGGGTGTAAAATTATACATTAAAATGGTTTAACCCTTTGTCCTTGGAAGGGACAGAAGACATGTATACAGAGTACATGACCTGAAGGGGTACCAGGGTTTCACCTTGGAGCCGGGCTTGGGGTTGGGCCTGGTGGCCGTACTGTACTGTCACCCAATGGGACCTGGGCAATGTCAGCCCAAACCAGTTACTTGAGCTCAGCCACCTGTAGACTCACTGCATGCAGGAGGACCGTTTAGGGTCTGGTACATTGTTGACAAAAACTGGCACTTGCTTGTGGAGATGGTTGAGCAGTATGTCTTGGTACATAGAGATGGCTCTGGAATCCCAAGTCATCAAAAGGGGTTGGACTCACTTCCTGTTGTTGCGTAGAGTGCACTCTAATCTGCTTGGGTAGCAGCATCAGAGCCAGTGAATTTACAGTCAAACAAAGAAGGCTTGCTGTGGAGGCTTTAAAGGAGAATGCTTCTTAAAATGAAGATTATAATGGAAAACCCTGAGCGTCCTCTACACAAGACAGGAATTCGACAATTGACCGTCTTCAGTCAGAGGTTTCTTAAGCTCTGCTGTAACACAAGAGTTCCTTTGTGCCCACAGCTTCAATGGATCTTCAAATAATCTTAAGAGATTTACAACATCCAGTTTTACCTTTAGGATTAATAAAGTACTTTTGGATGCTCCTCCACTCATCAGTCTGTAAAGCACCTAGCTATGCAGATGACACCACTCTCCTCATAGACAATAGTTGTGATATTTTTCAGGTGCTTGCCTCATCGTTCGACCCGTACCTCGGAGGGCGTAATTTTGACGAGTCACTGGTCAATTACTTCTGCGAGGAATTTAAGACCAAGTACAAGCTGAACGTGAAGGACAACCCAAGGGCTTTGCTCCGGCTGCACCAGGAGTGCGAGAAGCTGAAAAAGCTCATGAGTGCCAACTCGTCAGACCTGCCTCTCAACATAGAGTGTTTCATGAATGATATTGATGTTTCAAGCAGGATGAACAGGTACATTTTTTTCTCATTAAAAGGACGTCTAATGTGGGACATCATCGTTATTTAAAGTACTTGTCTGCAGGACACAGTTTGAAGACATGTGTGCTCAATATCTGATGAGGGTGGAGGTGCCACTGAAAGCAGCACTTGAACAATCAAGTAAGCTCTATGGATTTCCTTAAAATCATCATATTGTTACCATATAAAGTTTCAGCATGCATTGTCTTTCTATTTACTTTGTTTTTGCAGAATTGAGCAAGGATGACATCTATGCAGTGGAGATAGTTGGAGGAGCTACGAGAATCCCGGCCATCAAGGAGAGGATCTCCAAATTTTTCTGCAAAGACATCAGTACCACTCTCAATGCTGATGAAGCTGTAGCCAGAGGCTGTGCACTACAAGTAGGATTTTATTTTTCCATACCTAAAGCACTACATTACTGCATTATATACTATAAAAAACATTTGTTTATAATATGCAGTAAATATGTTTTTTATGTGGTGTGTGTGGATGTAGTGCGCAATTCTGTCTCCAGCGTTTAAGGTTCGGGAATTCTCCATCACTGATGTGGTTCCCTTTCCCATCACTCTGCGCTGGAAGTCACCAACAGAGGATGGACTAGGGTGAATGCACTCGAGACATAAAATAAAATAATATGTTATAGTTGTTCTTTTGAAATTCAAGTTCAGCTTTAGGATGCAAAAAAGTACTGACTTGCTTTTTCTTTTGGCACAGAGAGTGCGAGGTATTTAGCAAGAATCATGCTGCTCCTTTTTCCAAAGTGATCACCTTCCACAAGAAGGAACCCTTTGATCTTGAAGCGTTCTACAGTAGCCCCCAGGAGCTCCCCTACCTCGACCAAAGGATAGGTAATGGTGCTAATTCGGCTGTGGTTTTTACAATCAGAGGCTAATTTGCAGCAGTGACTCATCTACCAACAGCACTAGTCCACTGCTAGTTAGATGCAGTGGCGGTTTTACCATTAGGTATAGGTCAGCGGCCGCCTGGGGCCCCCTAGCCCTGACCGCTGGCACCCCTCTATTAATGTCACAATATTCTTATTACCAACCTGTCGCCGCCGACGGGATTGGACATGCGCACTTCTCATTACCATAATTCCTGAACCATTAAAGATATCTGTAAAATTCCAAAAGTGCTGAAAAGATAAAAAATGGGGCTTTTCGTGCTTATACAAGACATTACGGTATCCACCGGGATCCCCTGTCTTGAGCACAACGAATCACAACACAGATTCAGAGACGTGCTGAGTTTGTCATCCAAAATGCTCGGTTTTATAACTTTTGAATGGCTGATCAGATTAAAAAAATTCGGTTCCTAAAAGTACATAAAAGCAGCTTTCCAACGATCTATAGCATGAAGCGATCCGAGTTATGGAAATCCTGCTGTACAGCCTGATTGAAATGGAGCACAGCAGAGCGCAGCGCCGTGGTGAAAGCGGATAACGGAACGGGGAAGCTAATTAGCATAAAAAGGCGGCATGAAATTATGGAAATGCCTGAAAGAAAATCAACACGATCTATTAGGTGTCCCATAAGCCTTAAATCTTAAGGCTTATATCTGAAGACAGTGACCACAAAGAAGGACAGATCTCCAGTGAACCAGGGTATGAAGGTTTGTTCAGTCTTTATTTTTTTATTTTTTTTATTTGAACAACCCTCAACTATTTGCTAATTGTAAGATTTAGCTTCATTCCAGCATTATTTATCTTTTTACAATAAATAATTATTTTTGCTAAAACAGGTTTTTGGTATAGCAGTGCACGCGTGCAAGAGAAGCACCTCATGGCAGTGTGAGGTGTGCAGGAATCTGCCTGCAGCTGGAGAGAAACTGCTTCAAGGTCTACCACATCAAATAAAAACGTCTGAAAGTTTTCAAAAATAAATGGTCTTAAAAACTGTTAAAAAAGATACCAAGGTTCACACTTTTTTAAGAATAGATGCATTACAGTTCAAAGTTTAAATTGTTCATTCCAAATTGTTTGCCCAAGTCATTTTGAAGTTCCTGTTCAGTAATAAATGTAAAAAATTCTAATGCGTTTTTTGCTTTTTTCACTTTTAAGCTGATTTTTTAAAGGCTTTAATAGAAATAAATTCTAAATACAAACCATACACTAAAAGCTGAGGTTGTTCTGAAAAAAGGAGAAGAGTTACACACACTTTGCACTTTTTATTAAAATTTTACAGCCATAAGATTAAAAACATACCAGGCGGCTCTGTTATAATTATTGTCATAAGAGGGTTATTAAGACGGCGATGCACAAACAGGAAGTGATTGGTAGTCATTCCACTCCAGTTCAGTTGGTGGCGGTAATGCACCAAATTGTTGTTTGCCAAGTGCCATAAGACCACAAATAAGAATAAGAAGAGAGGCGGAGCGTTCGTAACAAACTCAAAGCGATAGTCAAAACATTTAGCATGAAATGGAGTTATCCTAGTGGCTCCAATAAGAGAAAGAAGCATCATGCTTCATAAAAGCTTTTACTTTCACTTCTGAAAGTGACGTCATTTTTCGATGTAAACATCAAAGGAAGCAGAAAAGGAAAGACAATGGAAAATGTTTAAAGGGAGGAAAACATGGACCTAAATGGAAAATAAAAAAAAATATCAAAGGTAAAAGCACAGGAGCACTGATAGGGAAAAAAAAGCAGAGCAAATATTGAAAGTGCTCAAAGGGAGGGAAATACAGGAAAAAAGAGGAGGACTAATAAAAAAGGGAAAATAACTCATGTCAGAAAAGGGGATAATTTCGCAAATCCAGTTAAAGAAAAGATTATGGAAAATTTTGTGTAAGGGGCCCCATGTCTGTGTTCGCCTTGGGCCCCCAAATTGCTAAATCAGCCACTGGTTAGATGTTTCCTAAAAAGATCTACAGCCTAGACAGGAATCAGAACTACGACTAGCACAGATGGGTTGCAGTGAGTCAGTTGAACTCTCAGGTGTGCTGTCAGTTTTTTTTTTTTTTTTTTTTTTGCTTCTGCAGGTTTGAGCTGCTGTCGCTGAAGCAACCATAACAACCTGCCCTCTCTCTTGCTGCATGTTGCCAGGCTGCTTCTCAGTGCAGAATGTGGTTCCCCAGCCAGACGGAAACAGCTCTAAAGTCAAAGTCAAAGTGCGCGTCAACATTCACGGCATCTTCAGTGTGTCCAACGCGTCGCTGATCGAGAAGCAGAAGGGAGAAGGAGAGGACATGCAAATCGAATCGGAGCCGATGGCGCAGAATGAAGGCCGGGAGGAGGAGCAGGTATTGTAGATGTCACTCTTCTTGATGATGCAGCTTATGTAACCTAACAACTTCTGGATAGATTATTATTCAAAACATAGGTGAAGATGCTTTAGGGAAGCATAATGACACTGAATTTTTTCAACCTGTCTTTATTTTGACTAAATACATCATAGCAGATTTGACTAAAGACATCATAGCAGATTTTGTGAGGTATAGCATGTATGTTTCAGCATCTCATTCATTTTATATTTTAGAGAGAGAGAGAGAGAGAGAGAGAGAGAGAGAGAGAGAGAGAGAGAGAGAGAGAGAGAGAGAGAGAGAGAATTGTGTGTGTGTGTGTGTGTGTGTGTGTGTGTGTGTGTGCGTGCATGCGTGCATGTGTGTGTATGTGTTTAAACTCATTTTATTGTGACTCAGACCAAAATGCAGGTGGATCACGAAGGCCAAAGCCTAGGGGACCAGCAGAACGAGGACAGCACTAAGGTCAGTCAGGCTTCTTTTGGTTAACACAGAAAATAAATATATTTTATCCTTAATCAAATTTTTTTTGTCCGAACGTTCAAACTACGCTGATGTTAACATCATCACACACAGAACTGACCAAGTGTGCACACTCACTGTTGCTGAGACGTTTTAACATAAATCACAGATACAGGAGATGCGTAGCCTGTAACAATAGATGAGTGTTGCTGTAGCAGGGTGTCCCGTCTGAAGACTAATGCAATCCAAAAGCTTTAGTTCTACACTGAAAACTAAAACTCTTTGCAGTTACTTGATTGTATTGTGTACATCGGTTCTTCATGATTAAAATAACTTTAACCAATAGAACATTTCTCCTTCCTTCTACAAATGAACTCATCAAACCAAAGTATTTTATTTTAAAAAATCATTTTGACTCAACATGATTTTTAAGAACTAAAGTTGCTTGATTTCATTAACATCATCCAAATTGTTGTTGGATGATTATAGCTTGGGGCTGGGGTGTTTGTGCCCCTGTCTGTGTAGACCACGTTGCACATGCTCCCTGTGATTTCTATAGGTATCATTCTAGTTGAAGACCCAGATGAGTGCTTTTTGAACCCCACCCCTCCGTACCCCTACCCTCTTCAGTCATGTTTATTTTTGGCTCGCTGCCAGCTCAAGAATACACAACTTTTATGTACATATATACATATATATATATATATATATATATATATATATATATATATATATTTTTTTTTTCAAAAGATTGTGGCATGCTGACAAATCAGTTCCATCCAACCAGCAATCAGCATTCTGAATCATGGACACAATCTTTTAAAGTTACCCCAACAAGAAGAAATCAAGTATAAACTACACTGTACTCTTTTCAGTCAGCGTTACACAGGTTAATCTAGTCTAAAACTTGGTCGTTTATCCTCTGCCGCCAAGACAAACTTAAGGAATTTGGGTGTTGTTTTTGACCAATCGATGTCTCTTGAATGTCATTCAAAAACGTTGGTCCTAAACTGTTTTATCACTTAAGAAATATCTCCAAACTGCGAAGGTTGGTGTCAAAACATGAACTTGAAATGGTTCTCCATGCCTTTATCTCCTCTCGTCTAGATTACAGTAACACACTCTTCACATGTTTCAACAAAAAAGCCCTTGACTGCCTTTAGTTGGTCCAGAACTCTGCAGCGAGGCTCCTAACTGGAGCAAACAGAAGAGCACACATCACTCCTATTCTAATGTCTCTGCACTGGTTACCCGTTACCTTTACATTTCATTTTAGAATCCTGACTATAACTTTCAATGCCCTACATGGTCAAGCTCCTCCCTATATTACTGAACTGTTAAAGCCTTGTGCTCCAACCCAGCCTTCAGGTCCACACACCAGAACCTTCTAGAAGTTCCAAAGACCAGATACAAAAGTCGAGGTGATCGCTCCTTCCAGACTGTTGCACCCCGACTCTGGAATGATCTTCCTTTATCCTTACGCAGCATTGACAGTCTGGACACTTTTTAAAAACAGCTGAAAACCTTTTATTTAAATCTGCTTTTACATAAACCTTTTATTTTCTTATTTTTAACTCAAATTTGTCATCTTACATTTGTTTATTAAATTTTATAATTTTATGACTTTATTTTTTCTGACGATAATCTATTTCTGTTTTGAGATCATTATGATTTTATGACTTTGTTTTATTTTGTTTTGATCTATGTGAAGCACTTTGTGATCCTATATCTGTGATAAGTGCTATATAAATAAAATTTACTTACTTACAAAAATATATTCGTCCTACAAACTTGGTCCAATTATGTAGAAACTAAATGTAAGGATTAAGAGACTTGAACAAACAGAGGATTTTTGTTTTTTCAGTGTACATATCTGGCAATCTTGTTTCAGGAGGGTGTTTCTGGGGAGAAGCAGGATCAATCAGCAGGTGGAAGTAAACCTAAAGTCAAGGTGAAGAGTGTTGATCTTCCCATTGTGGCAAACAACATTTGGCAGCTGGACAGTGATGTTCTTATTAACTTTGTGGAGCTTGAGGTGAGCCCTGAGGCTGTTGGTCTTTGAATAAACCATCTAATCTTGATCTGAATGAAAAACAATATGTTTTTTCTCTCACAGCGTCAGATGATTAGCCAGGACAAACTGGTGAAAGAGGTGAACGATGCTAAAAATGCTGTGGAGGAGTATGTTTATGATCTACGGGAAAAGCTCTGTGGAATTTATCAAAAGTACATTAGCAAAGAGGTAATGTTGACTTTTTAGACAAATAGCTGCAAAGAAACACTTGTGAAATAAAAACATCTATGGATGAGAATGTGTTCCAAGTGTGTGATGATGTCACGTTGGGGTGGTAATTACAGGACAGCATCCGTCTGACGCTGATGCTGGATGACACGGAGAACTGGCTGTATGAGGATGGAGAGGACCAACCAAAACAAGTCTATGAAGAGAAACTAGATGCACTCAAGGTTTGTTTTATTTTATAACAAGGACATCTTGCTTTGCAGTTTTCAAAAAGACTGTTCTTATGTTGGGAAATGTTATAATTTTCCAGAGATTTGTTCAGCCCATTCAGGAGCGACACAGAGAGACTGAAAACAGACCAAGAGCTTTTGAAGAGCTTGGAAAGAAACTGCAGCTTTACATGAAGTTTGTTGATTCCTACAAAAAGAAGGTCCATTCTCTCAAATCTTTTGCAATTTTTAATGTTTGTTTTTATTAAATAATCTATTCTAATAGTAAAATACGGATGCAAATGTGAACAAAAACATTCTGGGCTCTTTATTATGTTTTTGTTGCTTTTTCACATCCAATTTTTCTAAAATAACGAATAAGTTTATTTTATTGATTATAAATTGTAATTTTAGGATAAAGAAATCAAAAGGTAGCATTTTCTTTGTTTGTCTTAGGATGAAAGTTTTGTGCATCTAAATCCAGAGGATGTAAGCACTGTGGAGAAGTGTGTGACTGAAAGCATGGCCTGGATGAACAACAAGATGAATGCACAGAGCAAACTTGCAATAACTCAAGACCCGGTTGTTAAAGTAGCAGACATCATTGCAAAAATTCAGGTATGAAAATGACTTTTAAGGATGAAATGATTTTCCTGAGGTTTACTCATTTTGTTTTGCCATTTTTTACTTCCAAACTAGGAGCTGGAGGGTGTTTGTGATCCAGTGATCAACAAACCAAAGCCCACAGTGGAGGAACCACCTGACGTGAATGACTGTGGAGCTCATAATGGTCCAACACCTAAGCAAGAGGCAGAAGGGAAGGGAGACAAAAAGGGAAGTCAGGATACAAAGCCTGGCATGAAAGAAATGGAGGTGGACTAAGAAGGGCAAACTCCTCAACGATCACTGCTTTTACCATCTCTCACCATTTAGATTGTAGCAAAAGAAACACCAGGGACCATTCCTCAGTCTTCACCAGCCACTGTAGTGGATTTGTTCTTGTGTCATTTCCCAGTGGACTTTACCTTTTCAAAGACTTTGATTTCACCATTTCATTCGTACAACAGTGCTTTGCCATCCTCTCTCAAAGATTTGAAATGCCTAAGAAATAAAAGAATTTAGCAGTTGGTTTAATTTTGATTATGACATAAGGCTGTATCATTATGCCAGAAAAGTGTGTTTCGTGATTGCATTTCATATAGTAGCATTGTTTTTTTGATCCAGATAAGTACTGTTAAAATGATTGTTAATGCAATTAGTCCTTAGACGATAATCCAAACACATGTATACACATGTACACATGTATTTGTAATTGATGAGATTTAAAAAAGATGTGTAGAGTTGTATATATTCTTTTAGTAAATAAAAAAGCCAGCATAGATGTGTGCATAAAGGGTACATTTTTTATGTTAAATTGAACACTTGGCACAGAAATATTAAATTTTTTGTTTAGTTTTCTTATTGAAAGAGCAAGTAACGTCTAAATTAACTTTTTTTTGCTGATAAACTGTATAAATGAGTGTAATAGTGTTTTAAATGTGTGTATTCATTATTTTAGCATTTTCTTCTTCCTAAATACCACCACAGCATAGCGCCACCTTCAGCTTAAAACATAGTTTGAGTCATTTTGAATAACACTTTAGCCAATGGCTAAAGAGAAAGATACTACGTAAACCAGTAGAGTACTACGTAGCAGCTCTGTGTCAAAGTTATAAAAGCAACGAGCGTCTCGGCCACGCCTTGTGGCGAGTTGGGAGTTGGATTTGCAAGCGAGTGTAGGACGGTTAGCGGTAGTTCAGCATTAGCATATAGCGTTAGCATATCCTAATCTTTAGTGTTAGCTTGGCTGTTGGATATTGTAGTTTAGTTAGTGTTTAGCTCAGGGGTGTCAAACATGCGGCCCGCAAACGGGTTAAATCCGGCCCGCGAGATGGTTGTGTAAACTTTATTTTCATACTTTACAATGTAGAGTCAAAATAAACTTATCTTTGTGAGCAAGTTTCCTCTGTAATGAGTATAAATGCAACAAAGCTGTGCTCAAGGCCCACACAAGAACTTGAATCACATCCTGAAGTTGGCTGCCACTCAGGATGTGACTTTGATATTGATGTGGTGGTGAAAGCTAAAAGATGTAAAGTAAAATGAGTCAAATATACTTTAAGTGCTGCATGAAACTGATCTAGCCATGTGATCTGTACGCTCTTTGAATCACTAAGGAATGTTTATTTGTTTTCAAATTTTCAAGTACACTTCAGGTGTTGTACTTGTACACTGTCCTCAGGCTCCAGCTTTGTTTTATATTGATTGTATTAAAACAAAGAAAACAATCTGAAGTTGTTTTAAATTTACCGGTCCGGCCCACTTGGGACTAGATTTCCCTCAATGTGGCCCCTGAGCTAAAATGAGTTTGACACCCCTGGTTTAGCTGTTAGTGTTATTAGGAAAGTAGTTTGGGTTTAGTGTTCCATATTGTGTTAGTATGGTGAGAAGGTGTAGTGTAGTGGGTTGCGGTCGGTCTGGGACCGCGGTCAAGTGAGCCGTCATTTGTGAGCCGCGGTCAAGCCAGCCGCATCTTATCCGCCGCGTAAATTTCCTTGTGCTTTTACACCAGTCTTTACGGTACCGCATTTTTCAAAAATTCATTAAAAATCATCCTTAATATTTGATGTCCAACTTTCAACACATCCTTCCTCTGGGACACCTACTGTACCTGTGTGCCAGATTTCAGACAGATTTGTAGAAATCCTCGGATATTAAAGCAAACAGTCAATACAATTATGTCACTTTCAAAAATTCATTAAAAATCATCCTTAATAATTGACGTCCATCTTTCACCACATCCCTACTCTGGGACACCTAAGATGCGGCTGGCTTGACCGCGGCTCACAAATGATGACTCACTTGACCGCGGTTAAATGTCCTACTTTGGCAAAACGTCCTACCCGTAGGATAATTTTTACGGTGTCCCCTGACAAACAGTCCTACTTTGGCAAACCGTCCTACCAGTAGGATAATTTTACGCTGCCTCATGACAAACTGCCCTACTTTGGCAAAATGTCCTACTGTACGTAATTTATGCACATTTCTGCTGCCAAACAATAATTCCAGCACAAATTTAAGTAGGTATGACAGTTTGCCACTTAACTTTGCCCATCAGAGTATGCTTGTAGCTGATATTCATAAAGCCAGTACGGTTTGACACTTCTTTTTACCCATTAAAGTGTGCTTGTAGGTCACATTCACAAAGGTAGCATGCTTTGGCACGTAATTCTTATGCTTGTAGTTTATTATAACAAAGGTAGCATGGTTTGGCACATAATTCTTATGCTTCTAGTTTATAATAACAAAGGTAGCATGGTTTGGCACGCAATTCTTATGCTTCTAGTTTATAATAACAAAGGTAGCATGGTTTGGCACTTGTTTGTAGAAGCAGTCTGCATGCCAAGGTGCTTAAGTTATACAGCTGTCACCATTGAAGTGATTGGAACACCTGACTATATAAACTTTGACAATGAACTCACTCCATTATAGTTACAGTATATATTTACTGAATATATTTACAGATACATATATTTGACATGTATAGATCCAACAGAACACAGGGACAAAGAACTGAAAAAGAAATAGTATTCATAACAAATTATGCACATTTGTTGCACAAGTACTTGACCAGGCTGCTCTCATATTGAGCACATCCAAAATGTGCCCATCTGAGACAAAACTCACACTGCACCTGGAGAGGGAGAAGGGAGGGGGGGGTGTAAGTGTGTTAACCAACATTACGAATTTCATGAGAAAATAATTTCTACAGTGGCTTGCAAAAGTATTCAGCCCCCATGAACTTTTCCACATTTTGTCAGATTGCATTCACAAACATGAATCAATTTTATTGGAATTCCACGTGAAAGACCAATTTCTCTACCAGCTAGAGACTGGTAGAGACATATCCTAAAAGACTGGCAGCTGTAATTGCAGCTAAGGGTGGTTCTACAAAGTATTGATTCAGGGGGCTGAATAATTACGCACACCCCACTTTTCAGTTATTCATTTGTAAAAATTGTTTGGAATCATGTGTGACTGTCATTCCACTTCTCACATGTACACCACTTTGTATTGGTCGTTCACGTAGAATTACAATTAAAATTGATTCGTGTTTGTGGCTGTAATGTGACAAAATGTAGAAAAGTTCAAATGGGCCGAATACTATTGCAAGCCACTATATATTGCATTTGTGGTTTATTTGTTTTACCATTTCAATCATACTGGACTCAGGATCGGCTTCCAGCATGGAACAAACCACACAGTAGTCACCAGCATTACCTAGAAACACACTGGTGTTCAACCTAACAGTTTTTAAACAAAACTGAAAGTGCTTTTGCAATACAAAAGCACATGACTCAACTTACTTTGATGTTCTAGCAGTTCGCAAGCAATTTCTGTGCGTTGCAGCCCAATGGCTTCTGGAGTGGACAGCAACCTCTCGACTCATAAGGTAGTGTTCGGCAAACTGTAAAATATGTTACAGTAATTGCAATTAACTTAATTCTAGTTAAATAAAATAAATACAATTAAATACAATTGCTTATTAAATACCTTCAACACTAAAACTCCACAACTGCTGGAGTCCATCTGCTTGTTGTGTGGCAGTCTCTCCATTTTCCAATCCACTCGGAACTTCATTTCCTTTCATCTTCAGAAAATTCCTAATGAAAACAAAACAAGTTTTTTGCAAGCATTTTGCTTAAAAAAACACAAACCAAACAACCCAAAACAGATAATTAATGAATGATGAATACCTCCAGTTACGCATAATTTTCCTTTCATAACAACCTTAATTTCCAAGAGGGTCTAACAGCAGTACAGATTGTGAGGAGATTTTGACAACCTAAAATAAAAATCGTATTTAGTAGAATGTACCACATGAGTTGTTAGGATTAACAATCAATTACTGACCCTTTTGTTTGAATTTTGAGGCATATCTTCTGAGGTTTTGCCTCTGAGCCTTGTCATATCCTGAAGGGTAGGAGCCTGCAGAAATGAATGTGTAAATCTCTTCCCACTTCTTCTCCATATCTATGAATGTAAGTAGACATTTTCTTCTGAGCTTCAATATGTGCAGTTAACAATGCAAATAATTTAACTTATTAAATAGCGACATTACCGAAACAGCCTTAAAACACCGAAGCTGCGGATTCAGAAGTGTTGTCCAAATACTACATGTCCAGTAACTTCACTGCAGACTTAACCAAAGCTGCAAATTCGACAGTTTTGTGCAGAAAGCAGATCGCGACTTTACTTTAATATTGACAAACAATCACAAAGGCTTAAAAAATCAAGTATCAATGTCAATAAAAAGTACTAATACTTACTACTTACCTATTTTCCTGGAAACATGACAACGGAGTAGCATAAAATCACAGCCGGATGCGCTCTGCTTCCCTTTTTGTGTTGTGCGCATGCGCGCACATGCGCGCACATGCGCTGGAACAACGGGTAGGACTGTTTACCGCACATGCGCAGGAAAAAGGTAGAACTTTGCTTTATGACATCACCATCTTCATCATCATCATCATCACCTCTATATCTAAGCGGATTCTACCAGGCATTCAGTTCTCAGTGACGCACCGTCAGAGACAGTCGTGCTTGCTCGTTGTTCGATAGTTTTTCAACTTATCGTCTACGTGTTATTTAGCATTATGGGAGACTCTTTTGCACACAAGAGTTTCTCTCCAGCTCTGGTTAAAGATTCAGAGACTTATATTAGCATGGAACAACCGCATTTGTCAGAGAATCGTGGTTTAGTTTCAGCAACCAAACGGAAAGCCGTTTTAGACCCTGGACCTTCCACAAAAAGGTTTAAGGTTTCTGATGAAGGCAAACTCTCTGAAAACAATCAGAACAAAATACAAATTGGCAAATTCACAAAGAAATCAATTTCCTTTGATGGTGAGGGATCTGAAAATCCAGAAAAGGAATGCAGATATTTGGTTCCTGAGAAAGGATCGTCCTCTGCCAAAAGGAAAGCTGCTTTTCATCACGAACCTCCCACAAAACGGTGTAGGGTTTCAGGTGAAGGCAGTGTCTCCAGACATAACCTGGATGAGACATCCAGAGCCTCAAAAAGGTCACTCTCACCAGATGGTAAGGGATCTGGAAGTCCAGCAAAGAGAATCAGGCTGTCTGATTCTGAGAGTCCCTCGCTTTCAGCCAAAGATCAGTTTGAGGCAAAATACGAGCAAAAAGATCAGCTCGGAAAGGGAGGTTGTGGATCTGTTTATGGTGGCTACCGCAGGGCAGACAGTTTACCTGTGGCAATCAAACATATACCAAAGGGAAATGTAGTCTGGACAGATACGGACGAGAATGGCCAGCGGCTCACCATTGAGGTAGCCGCCATGCTAAAACTCCAGACAGAATCAGCTGATTCGGTGGGGAAGTCCGCTCCAATTTCCCTCCTGGACTGGTATGACTTCAACCAGGAACAAATTCTAGTGTTGGAAAGACCCGTGCCTGCAGTGGACCTCTCACAGTTTGTTA